TTGGTCTTTTGTGGGCCCTCTAGCAGTGGGACCAGGACCTGTTCCTGATGCATGAGCTGGCTCTTTGGAGCCTACTCCCTATGGTGGGGATGCCTTGTTCAGCCTTGATGGAGTGGGGAGCAGCGTGGTACTGCCTCTGCCAGATGTGTCATGCTTTGTTGATTCCCGTGGGAGGCCTTACCCAATCTGCATGGAGACGGAGGAAAAATGTTGGAGAAAGCTGCTTATTTTGTTCCCAGCCTCCCAGCTAGCTTAGACCCAAAATAATCACACAGAAACTGCATCAGTTAAATCACTGCTTGGCCCATTAGCTCTAGCTTCTTATTTGCTAACTCTTACATCTTAATTTAACCCATTTCTAGTAATCTGTGTATCGCTACATGGCAAAGTTTTAGCATGTCTGACTCTGGCAGAGGCTCCATGGCTTCTCCCTGACTCCATCTTCCTCCTCCCATGCCATAGGTCAAGCCAGTTCTTTATTCATTAACCAATAAAAGCAACACATAGACAGAAGGACCGCCCATACCAGAAAAGTGGGTGGGAGGTAGGGGGAGTGGTGGGGTAGGGAGCGGAAGGAGAGGAGAGAGGGAAAAGTGTGATTGGTATGTAAAATAATTTTTTTAAATGATGGGGAAGAAAAGAATCTTTGATATTAGAAGGCCATATGGCTGACGTGAAGTCACCTTGTAAGGTAAGGAATGGTCTGGTTTTAATGCGGAGGAACTGCCAAGTGGACTGCCACATCCGGCCTTGTGATCTGGGCAGCCTCCTTACCCAGATGCCTTGGGTACTTGTCAGTAGCTGGGAAAGGTTTCAGAAGTGGCACAGTAGTCCCTGGCACGTTGCGTGCAGTTAGATAAAACCGAAGCGGTGGACTGCATCACAAGCTCCCTGGTCCCTGCTGATGGCATCTTGCTGACGTGGCTGCCATCTTTCCACTCTAGTTCGTGTGTGCTGGACCCTGGCCGGCAGGGAGGCACATCCAGCCCCATGTGCAATGAGAGCTGTGCGTCTGTCTCACTCACCTTACTTTACCTGACACCTCTAAACTTACACACCCACATCCCCCTTCAAAAAGTTTCCTTTGCCACCCTCCACACCCTGTGAGAGGAGAGACTCCAGCCTGCATTTCCAGACATAACTAAAGACTACACCTGCATCTAACAATGTTACCTGGTCAGAAAGATTTACAACTTGTGGACATTGTTTGTAATGCTTGTGTTTTGTTTATTTATTGGAAGAAGTTGTATTCAGAAAGATCAGTAGGTGGGGCCAGTGAGAAGGCTTGGCAGATGAAGGTGCTTGCTGCCAGGTCTGATGATCTGCCTTAGATCCCCAGCACTTCCACTCCCCAGGCTGGCCCCAGGGCATTGCTCCCATGAACACTGTTTCATCCAATTTCTTTTCCTTGGGATTGCAGTTTTAAAATAACTTGCATTAAAATGCGATTTGCAAAAATAAGTACACATTTGATATGATTCTGAAAGCTTCCCCAGTCAGGTAAAGCATTTATTTACCATATCCACTGCAGAGTTACCTTACCCCCTTGGAGTCCCTTCTACCCCGACTCCTGTCCCCAGGCAGCCACTGAGGCCTTGTGTGCCATTGCACGTTAGTTTATATTGTTTCAGAATTTTCTGAAATAAATAGAACTGTATCCTTCTCTGCAGTTCATCTGTGAGCGCCAACAACTTCCTTCCTCCCTCCCTTTCTTCCTGTGCTGCTGATCCAGGTTGGACGTTGGTGCATACTAGGCAAGCACCCAGCCCCTGCTTAGTTCCTTGTATGGCGAGGATGTGCTGCAAGATGCTTATCCATTTACCTGTTGATAGACACTTGAGTTGTTCTCAGTTTTGGAGTATTATGAATAAAGTAGGGATAGTAGTAGAAATGAGCTTTTTTTTCTTCCTCCTTTCTCCTCCCCCTCCCTCTCCTTCTTCTTCCCCTCCTTGTCGGTGTGAAGTACACCTTTTATCCTGTTCCTCCTCTCTCTCCCCCTTCCCTTCCTCCTCCTCCTTCTTTCTCTTCCTCTTCTTCTTCTTCCCTCCTTGTGGGTGTGGAGTCCTCCTTTCATCCTGTCTGCCTTGTCCTCAGAATATTTTTGTTTCCAGAACCCCCATGGCCCTTCCTTGGATCGCTCGTGCTCCAAGGTGATAATTTTTTCCTCTAGATTCATTGTTGTAACACCAGAATTTTTTTCTGATTCTTTAGTGAACCCGCGTCTTTTGTTTATGGAGCCTACGTCCTCTTCTGTAATTCACATTTTAATCGGTATCTCTCACATGCTCAACCTTGAGGGAGTGTCTGGAAGGAAGATGGCAGCTCCTGCCTCAGACACTTTTAGGTCCCATGCACTGCAGTAAGAATCACTGCACCACGGTTTTCCAGGCCTGCAGGCTCCTCTCTCAGCTGTCTTTGTATTGCTTAGGGATTTCTCATAACTTTGAGTTCTGTATGTTGGGCTTGGCCTTCCACGTATCTTTGTTCAGCTATGGTTTATAACGCACATACCCTTGCTTCTGGTTTTAGGGCTTCAGTTTGGGATGGCACTAGCTTGTGACCTAAGTCCTGTTCCTTCAGTCCACTGTCTGGTTTCCTGAGGCAGACTTGTCTTGGCAGTCCCAGGAGAGCGTGATCGCTGATGAGGAAGGAACCTAATGTGTTTAGGTACATCCTACCAAAATCCTAATCCTACCCTAGGTTACAGCTTGTACCATGGATGCCAACTGGTTGTTGAACTGGGGAAGGCTGTGTAGGCATGGTGTTGGGGAGGTTCTTGCGGGTACAAGGTGTCTGGGGGCAGTGAGCTGGTGCTGCCAGTGGATTTGGTCTTCCACCTGGACCTGCATGGAAGGAGGAGAGTGCTGACTCTTCCCAAGTTATCCTCTGATCTCCACATGAAAACCATACCCCCCCCACACAGATGAAGAAATGTAGTTAAATAGTTGTTAAATTGAGATGTGCTTTGAATACTGTACATAGTATCTGTGAGGTTGAGGCCAGCCTGTTCTACACAATGAGTTCCAGGACAGCCAGGGCTACACAGTGAGACCCTGTCTCAAAAATCAAAAAACAAACAAAAACCAAAGTCCATAGGTAAACACTCAAGTGTTTGGTGTTTGTTACCAATTTAGCAATTAGAGAAGCTGAAAAGGAGGGACACACACACACACGGTCTCACTATGTAATTCTGGCTAGCCTCGAGCTCACAGAAATCTGCCTGTCTCTGCCTCCCAAGTGCTGAGGTCAAAGGTGTGCCCCGTTGTGTCCCTCTGCCTATGTCTTCTTAAAAGTATATTCCTGCTAGTGGGCCGTATTGTAGTTCCACACTTAAATTTCATTTTACAATTTCAACGGCAATGTCTGTTCTGCCCCTTCCCTACACCTGCTACTTTCGATCCTGGGCCTCTCTCCTGGTTTAACATGTGTCTTCAGTGACACAGACGCAGGGCATCTCCTCGTATGCTTGTTGGACAGTAACGATAGAGTGATGTATGTGCATCGTGTTTGGAAGGATGTTTGGTTCCTTGGCCCCCTTTCCCTTGGGTTGTTCACCAAGACAGTTTAGTTCTTCATGTATTGAAGTCATTAGAGCCTTGTCACAATTTCCATTATGGGGATAGAATTTAAATTTTCTTTAAATTTTTTTTAAGAGTTGTTTTGTTTTTCTATCACGTGTGCATGTGTATGGGTGTGTGTGTCCCTGAGGAGACCAGAAGAGGGTGTCAGGTCCCTTGGAGCAAGAGTTACAGGTGGCTGTGATCTGCCTGACCTAAGTGCTTGGTCACCTGCAAGAACGGCAAGTACTCCTAACTGATGAGCCATCTCTACGGTGCTCCCCCCCCCCCCTTTTTTTTTTAAAGTTTTGATGATATATAGTCTGCCTCTCTCTTCCTCTGTGGTTACTTGTACATGGTTACAGCTAAGGAAACTGTCTAATCTGAGGTTGCCTGTGGTCCTTCCTGAGAGCTTAGTTTTAGCCCCTAAGTTGAGGTGTTTGGTCCATTTTGAGTTAACCTGTAAGTGATCTTAGGTCTTTGCATGTAGATGACCATTTGGCCCAGCATCCGTGACGGATTGAGTCTTCATGCCTTTTATCAGGCTGGCCTAGACCTCGTGGTCCTCCCGATTTACCCTCCCAGGTACTGGAGTTACAGGTGTACACCATCACTCCTGCTTGAGTCTTAATTATTCTAGGTCCTTGATTTCATTTAACTATCCTAACAGCCCTGAGACATTTTTTTTTTTTTTTTTTTTTGGTTTTTCGAGACAAGGTTTCTTTGTGGTTTTGGAGCCTGTCCTGGAACTAGCTCTTGTAGACCAGGCTGGTCTCGAACTCACAGAAATCCACCTGCCTCTGCCTCCCGAGTGCTGGGATTAAAGGCGTGCGCCACCACCGCCCGGCCCCTGAGACATTTTTATTGTCACTATATTTTATGGATTTTTAAAGCTGATTCTTTTTTTTTTTTTAAAGAAGATTTTGTTCCGTTCCTCTGGAAAAGCAGCCACTGGGGGCTCTCTCCAGCCTCATTGAATTTAAACGTTAATAGCTGTCTGTGGTTATCTTACCGGATGATGGAAGCTGAAGCGGGCAGTCCTGGGAGAGAGGTCTGAGTCTCACGTTCGAGTTCTGTGTTCTAGGCTGCGAGGCCCACGAGGATGCCAGCCAGGAGAGGGTAACCAAGTGCAGAGACTGATGGCTGTGGAGGGAGGGTGTGGCTAAAGACCTGTGGCCGTGAGCTCCAGGAAGCCTCTGTGTTTTGGATCCTAAGTCCCTGCTTGGGATGCTGAGATATACAATGGTACTCTGCCCTTCAGGAATATGTGAGGGTGTTAGGGTGGTTTTCATGGCCTTAGGTCCTCAGTTGTCCCTCATGAGTGGGTGGCAGAGGGGACACCGTGTGGAAGAGTAGCATCAGAGTCACAGACCATCTGACATGGAGGTGAAACCCCTCGTTAGAACGACTCACCCTGTCCTGTTTGTCCTGTGATTTCTCCAGTTCTGGACTTGAGCGACCCCTTCAGCACTGAGGTGAAGCCCAGGATCCTGCTCATGGGTCTCCGAAGGAGTGGCAAGTCGTCCATACAGAAAGTTGTCTTTCACAAGATGTCCCCGAGTGAGACCCTGTTCCTGGAAAGCACCAATAAGATCTGCAGGGAAGACGTCTCCAACAGCTCCTTTGTCAACTTCCAGATCTGGGACTTCCCAGGCCAGATTGACTTTTTTGACCCGACCTTTGACTACGAGATGATCTTCCGGGGCACAGGAGCACTAATCTTTGTCATCGACTCCCAGGTACAGACTCCACGGGCGACACCTACCTCTCCACATTCACCCACATCCGTTTGCAGTGGTTTTCGTAAAATTGTGCGTGTGTATCTGTGTGTGTGTGATGCACATACAAATGTGTGTGCAAACTTGCGTTCACCACAGCCCACATGTATGTGGGGTCAGAGGCTCCAGAGGCTCCTTTCCTGTCCCTTGTGGGCTCAGAGGATCAAACTCTTGTCAGACCTGAGCCAAGCACCTTTACTTGCTGAATCATCCTGCTGGGTCAGTGGTTTGGGTTTTTAAATCCGCAATAGGCCCTCCTATCAAACAAGGATTTCCCAGAGCCCTCAGATTCTGCAGAAAAGGCTCCCTGTCAGTCATAGCCCACACTCACCTAACCCATAAATAAGGTCATATACCTGGTGCGGTAGTTTGAATGTAATCCCCCCCCCCCCCCCCCCGTAAGCTCATAGGGAATGGTGCTGTTGGGAAGAGTGACTTCGTTGAAGTAGGTGTGGCCTTGTTGGAGGAAGTGTGTCACTGTAGAGTTGGGCTGTGAGGTGTCATATATGCTCAAGCCACACTTAGTATCTCAGACCACTTCCTGTTGCCTGCATATCAGGATGTAGAACTCAGCTCCTTCTCCAGCACCATGCATGCTGCCACGTCCCACCATGATGATAATGGACTGAACTTCTGAATTGTAAGGTGCCACCTCAATAAAATGTTTTCCTTTATAAGAGTTGCCATGGTCATGGTGTCTCTTCACAGCAGTAGAACCCTAACTAAGAACCTGGGAAACTTTATAGATGTGGGGCAGGTGCCAGAAGATGTGTGGAATGATTTCAGGTTCTCTGCAATCTAAAAGTTTATTTAGAAGGTTACATGTTACAATATTTGTTATTAAGTAGATAAAATTCTAAGCGAAAATTTTCTTCTGAATCAAAATATTATTTTTAACTTATTATTTTATCTGTATGGCTGTTTTACCTATATGTATGTCTGTGAACCTTTATACCTGGTGCCTGTAGAGGCCTGATGGAGGTGTCGGATCCCCTGGAACTGGAGTTACAGACAGCTGTGAGCTGCCATGTGGGTGCTGGGAATCGAACCTGGGTCCTCCGGAAGAGCAGCCAGTGCTCTTAACCACTGTACCATCTCTCTAGCTCTTGAATCAAATTATTATTAGTAGTACACACTTGATTATGGTAACTCTTTTGTGCGTTTTGTAGATGACTGTTGAAATGTGAGGTAGGTATCTTGTTTTCCACGGTTCACATCTGTGTTTTTTTTTTTAAAGATTTATTTTATTTATTATGTATACACCATTCCTTCCTCATATGCTTGCATGCCAGAAGAGGGCACCAGATCTCATTATAGATGGCTGTGAGCCATCATGTGGTTGCTGGGAATTGAACTCAGGACCTCTGGAAGAGCAGTCAGTGCTCTTAACCTCTGAGCCATCTCTCCAGCTCTCACATCTGTGTTTGAATAACCAGTTCTACTTTTGTTCTTTGTTCCTATAGCTGTGTTCACATAGATAACTTGGGGCTATAGGGATATGGGGTGAGTTTCGTCATAGCATTTATGCAAGAATTTAAAATCCTTCCAAATTGTGTCTCCTGCATTATCTAGTTTTCTGTCATAAAAATTATTTTTAGTAGTTTATTAACAGTTCTACAGTTCTTTGTAGACCTCCTTCAACTTGGTCGTTAGTCAAGGGTAGGGAGACATTGACTGGTGAGGAGCCCTGTTCCCCAGCCTCCTCTCCAACTGGGGCCTTGCCATTGGGCTCAGTGGGAGGAGAGGAGGAAGGGAGATCAGGCTGGCCAGCGCTGGGGCGGGTGGGTGAGGTTGGGGCCTTAGAGTGTCTGAGACCGTGGTGCTGGCTGGAGGATTTCCCAGGCCTAAAGGGAGCAGCTTCTCTAGGAAATGCCAAACCCAGTTCATAGTGGCGTTCAGAGAGTTCCCTGAAACTCTGCCGTCTGTTAGCCTTCCAAAATGTGTGTAATACAGAAGGAGCATCTTCAGCAAACCCTTGCTCTAGGAGGCTACGTTGTGTGACCAGCTCTGAGAACTGGGCTCAGAGTGCAGGGGTTCACTCTTCCTTCAGTGAGGTCTGTAGAGGAGAGACTGAAATACAGCACCAGACCTGTGGTGGGTTCCCCAGGCCCACCCGGAGCTTGTGCCCAGACCCTTCACAAGCCTGGGCTGTCGGGAGCTGCTCTCCTGGCACTCCAGTGTGTACAGACCTGTTTTCTGGCCAGTCTCCCCATCTGTCTTCCAGCACTGTAAATCCGGGAGCTCAGGGCCCAGGGGAGTGACTAGCATGTGCCTTACAGGTCAGGGAACCCTCTTCCCCTGAGTCAGCCCAGTGCTGTTTAAGGAACTGCCTATGAGTAAGTGGATTCCACCCAGAGCTAAAGATCGTTTTCGATGCTGACTTGGTAAATACTGCGCTGTGTAGCAGCTCCAGTGCGGATCTAAGGCATTTATGATATGGCTGTAATTTAGCCCCCAAATAAATATATTTACTTTATTTTTACTTTTCATTGTTTATTTTTAATCATGTGTACATGTGTCTCAGTGTGTGGGTCTGTATGTGTATGTGTCCCAGAGTGTGTGTCTGCATGTATATATGTGTCCCAGTGTGTGGGTCTGCATGTATACATGTGTCTCAGTGTGTGCGTCTGCATGTATATATGTGTCCCAGAGTGTGCGTCTGCATGTATATATGTGTCCCAGTGTGTGGGTCTGCATGTATACATGTGTCTCAGTGTGTGGGTCTGCATGTATACATGTGTCTCAGTGTTTGGGTCTGCATGTATACATGTGTCTCAGTGTGTGGGTCTGCATGTATACATGTGTCTCAGTGTGTGGGTCTGCATGTATACATGTGTCTCAGTGTTTGGGTCTGCATGTATACATGTGTCTCAGTGTGTGGGTCTGTGTGTTTACATGTGTCCCAGTGTATGGGTCTATATGTGTACATGTCCCAGTGTATGGGTCTGCATGTGTACATGTCCCAGTGTATGGGTCTATATGTGTACATGTCTCAGTGTGGAGGTCTGCATGTGTACATGTCTCAGTGTGAGGGTCTGCATGTGTACATGTCTCAGTGTGTGGGTCTGCATGTGTACATGTCTCAATGTGGAGGTCTGCATGTGTACATGTCTCAGTGTGGAGGTCTGCATGTGTACATGTCTCAGTGTGAGGGTCTGCATGTGTACATGTCTCAATGTGGAGGTCTGCATGTGTACATGTCTCAGTGTGAGGGTTTACATGTGTACATGTCTCTGTGAGGGTCTGCATGTGTACATGTCCCAGTGTGTGGGTCTGCATGTGTACATGTCTCAATGTGGAGGTCTGCATGTGTACATGTCCCAGTGTGAGGGTCTGCGTGTGTACATGTCCCAGTGTGTGGGTCTGCATGTGTACATGTCCCAGTGTGAGGGTCTGCGTGTGTACATGTCTCAGTGTGAGGGTTTGCATGTGTACATGTCTCTGTGAGGGTTTGCATGTGTACCTCTCTTAGTGTATGGGTCTGCATGTGTACCTCTCTTAGTGTGTGGGTCTGCATGTGTACATGTCTCAGTGTGAGGGTCTGCGTGTGTACATGTCCCAGTGTATGGGTCTGCATGTGTACATGTCCCAGTGTGAGGGGTTACATGTGTACATGTCCCAGTGTATGGGTCTGCGTGTGTACATGTCCCAGTGTGTGGGTCTGCATGTGTACATGTCTCAGTGTGTGGGTCTGCATGTGTACATGTCTCAGTGTGTGGGTTTGCATGTGTACCTCTCTTAGTGTGTGGGGGTCTGCGTGTGTACATGTCTTAGTGTGTGTGGGTCTGTGCACATGAGTACAGGTTCTTGCAAAGACCAGAGGTGCATGCTCTCCTGGAAGCAGCGTTTTAGGTGGTTATGAGCTGCCCGGCTTAGGTGCTGGAACCCGACTCTGGTCCTCTGCTGGAACAGCAGGTGCTCATGACCACCATGCTGTCTCTCCAGCCCAAAGTTGCTTATTTTTAGCTAGGCGTTGTCATTTAGGTTGGTAATTGTGTTTCTGATTTTGTGTGTGTTTTTTTTTTTTAAATTTACTGCAGGTCACAGGAAAGTCTAATAATGTTTGAGAAAGATCCCCCTGCCTTCCTTCTTCCCTCACCTTTCCCCTTTTTCTTTTTTTTTAAAAGTGGTTTATTTTGCATGTTCTTTTTGTCCTCACTCCCTCTATGATTGAAGTGGTTCTGTCAGAGGTAAATTGTTTCTAGATCCCTTTTTATTTTTTATTTTTACGACTTATTATGTATATAGTGTTCTGTCTGAAGAGGGCGCCAGATCTCTTTACAGATGGTTATGAATCACCATGTGGTTGCTGGGAATTGAACTCAGGACCTCTGGAAGAGCAGCCAGTGCTCTTACCACTGAGCCATCTCTCTCCAGCCCCACTTTCCTCTTTCTCTGAGACAGGGTCTTACACTGGTGCTCAGGCTGGATTTGAATTCACAGCAGCCTTCCTACCTTAGCCTCTTAGGGAATGCTGAGATTACAGGCATGAGCATCTTGCTTTTCTCCCGCCCCCCGCTTCAGACAAGGTCTTTCTACATAATCTTGTCTGTCCTAGAACTTGATTTGTAGATCAGATCTCACAGAGATCTGCCTGCCTCTGCCTCCCAAGTGCTGGGAGGCATCCTGTTCCCTGGAGGACCTAGGTATTGGTCCAGGTTCTATTGCTGGAATTGCGGCTCCTATCTTATGGCTATCAACCAACAACCTACACTGTGCCTACCCAGATCAGCTGGATTTTTTTTTTTAGCTGTATTTTCTCATCTCTGTGTTAGCAAACTTAGGTTTGTATACTTGAAGTCCATAATAACGGAATTTTGTTGTTGTTGTTGGGAGTTTGGCAAAATATTTTTGGAGATCATAACTATGTGTTTCCAGGCCATAAGTGTGTCTAGAAGGTTCTGGAAACAAAGCTGAAGGCATGACCTTTGTTCCAGGATGACTATATGGAAGCGTTGGCCAGGCTCCACCTCACAGTTACCAGAGCCTACAAAGTGAACACTGACATTAACTTTGAGGTGTTTATTCATAAAGTGGATGGTCTGTCGGATGATCACAAAATTGAAACCCAAAGAGACATTCACCAGAGGGCCAACGATGACCTTGCAGATGCTGGCTTAGAAAAAATTCACCTGAGGTAAGAGCCGACACCCTTAGAGTCTGGGTCCTAAGAAAGGCTGTAGCCAGTGGACTTGGGTTTCGAGCACCACAGCTGGCTGAGTGGGGACTGGCTAGGCATGGATGGCGTGTATTTACTTGTTTGTAGAAATCTAAAATGTTGTGTACTTGCTAAATGCTAACCTTTGGCAAATAGTGTTTTGTTTTATTCTTGTATTCAACAAGTTGTTAAAACTAAACTTCTCATCTCATATGAAAAACACAACAAAACCGATGGCTCTAACCCAGGATGCTAACTGATACTCAAAAATAGTTATTCCTAATAGGATAGTATTTATAACCTCAAATAGACGAGGCTGAAAATCATTAGGATAGGAATTCACAGGAAAATGTCTCCATCTCTTTTGTGGGGTAAGATAGTACATAATTATTGACTTTGCAAATTGGGAGATGAAAAAATTGGCATGCTTCAGTATATATAATGTAAAAGTTACTAATGAGGCAACAGGCTTGTGTGGGGATGAGGGCAGAGTCTCTGTATGGTGTAAGGATGCTCACCCAGGATGTGGGGATGAGGGCAGAGTCTCTGTATAGTGTAAGGATGCTCACCCAGGATGTGGGGATGAGGGCAGAGTCTCTAGTGTAAGGATGCTCACACGGGACGTGGAAATGAGGCAGAGTCTCTGTATAGTGTGAGGATGCTCACACAGGACGGCCAAACTCCCAAGCTTGCCAGTCAGTGCAGACTGAGCCTGGCTCTAGCACTAGGGAGGGATAGAGGCTGCCAGCTAGGACATACTTGGTTTTGACCAATTCATTATGAATTCTGAAAGGAGCTGGTGCTTGTATGTTAAAATTGTACATAAGATCACTGGCATTAGTGACAGAGCCCAAAACAACTGCTCAGTCAGAGAGAACCTGATGAAATACCACCCTCTCTTTCAGCTTTTATCTGACGAGCATTTATGACCATTCAATATTTGAAGCCTTCAGTAAAGTGGTTCAGAAACTGATCCCACAGCTCCCGACGCTGGAGAATCTGCTGAACATCTTTATCTCAGTAAGTAGATGGTTTGCTCCTGCTCAGGTCGTTCGCAGAATCCGAGAGCAGCGCGGCAAGAGTGAAAAGTTGTAATGCCTGCCTGCATTTCAGACACTTCAGCATCACTCTTGAAGGTTATTCCTACCGTTTGTTTTAGAGCCTTTAAACTCTGGCAGTGTGTGTTTCCCTGGTGCGCTTGGATTGCTTATTCAAGCGGGAGGCAATCATTAGTATTAACAGAGTCTTACCTTGGATATGGAACAGAAAGCCTGGTTTTGGGGCCAGCAGGTTTGCCAAGCCTTAACACCAGCATCCAGTCCAGACCACACGATACAAGGAGAGAACTAATTCCTTCCCAAAAGTTGTCCTCTGACCTCCACGTTTGTGCTGTTACAAGTCCTAACCATCCTTGAAACAAAAATACATGAATATAAGGAAATTCAACATTGTCTGAGTGCTGAGCCTGAAGACTCCTACAAAGGCCAGGCCAAGAGTTAGGAAACACTGCCCACGTGGTTTACCAAAGATAAATAACTTGGACTGATTCAGCCTTTCATGTGTCCTTTCAAACCCATCATAAAATGTATGACAGTAGAGTTAAAATTGCAATAAAATGGTTCAATAGGAGTTCCTGATAATTTTGGCTTATTTATATATTGCATTGGTGATGCCATATAATTTTTTAAATCTTGAAAGAAATCACTTTATTCTAAAATTGTTGTCTGTTGACTGTACACAGTACAAGGAGTCACTGTGACAGTTTCATGGAGGCTTACGTTATTTAATGCACCCACCCTCCATGCTGCTATTCCTTTCCCTCCATGTCCTCTTCCCTAATTAGTGCAGTGGAATATCATTTTTCATATAACCACGAAGTGGTCGGAACTTGCTGTTACTTTAAGGCATGTCTTTCCCCCACCTGTCAGAATTCCGGAATTGAAAAGGCATTTCTGTTTGACGTGGTCAGTAAGATTTATATTGCAACTGACAGCACTCCCGTGGACATGCAGACCTACGAGCTCTGCTGCGATATGATCGACGTGGTGATCGACATCTCTTGTATTTATGGGTAAGCAAAGCATTATTTACTGTTGTAATTAGAACAAGTCCCCTGTCTCCCCTCCCCCCCCCCCACAGTGTATTCTTAAAGGCCATAACTGTGCTATCCTTCCCAGGGCTGGAGGTGTGGCTTAGTTATGAAGCAAGTCCTGAGATCAGTCCTCAGCATGGTAGAAATAGGGAGAAGTGGGGCGGGCGGGGCATGTGGGGGAGGAAACGGAGGACTACCTGTTCACCTGCCTGCCTTTTCATAGCTTCTGGGCATCTTTGCATTCGTTTACTTGACTTCGGTACTTTCATTTTAAATGACTAGGATCTATAAATAGATCATTTAACATGCCAATAATAGCAGGTAATTGTTGAGCACATGCCTATTGTGATTAAAACTTTGGTATCATCTATAATGGTCTGTTGTTTGTTTTAATAAATAGAGCTTGCCTGAAGATTAGAGGGCAAGGTAGTCACACTTGTCAGCCATACAGGCCAGAGAGCGGTGGCACACACCTTTAATCCCAAGATTTGGGAAACAGAGGCAGACGGATCTCTGAATTCAAGGCCACCCTTGGCTACCAAGATTGAATCTGCCTAAAAGAGAGACAGAATTCACACAAAGGTGATCCCAGCACTTGGGATCTCACGCCTTTAAAATCCCAGCACTAGGGAAGTGGAGACAGGAGAGATATGGCTGGGTGGAGAGAGGAATATAAGGTACAGGAACTCAGTGGAGAGTGAAGTGTGGGCTGTGGAGTCTTCAGGATTTGTGGAGACAGGCTCTCGCCCATTTTCAGTCAGAGGTAGAAGAGCCAGTAACTGGCTGCTTTGCTTTTCTGATCTCCAGGTTGAACCCCAATATCTGTCTCTGGGTTTTTATTATTCATGCTACAATCATCTAATTTAGTTGTTCCATGAGTTAGGGATTACTGTAATGATCTGTCCTGTCCCTTTAAGAGACAAGCCACTCTTCAGCTTCCAGCCTGGGTTTTTTCCTTTTCTGTCTTCCTCTCAAAGAGGCAGCTTCTGTCTCTCCCCACTTCTCCCCTTCCCCTCTTCTCTCTCTCTCTCTCTCCCTCTTCCCCTCCCTTCCCTCCCTCCTTCCCTCTTTCCCTCCCTCTCTCCCTCCCTCTTTGCTCTTCTCCCTGTCTCCCCTTCTCTTCCATAACCCACTAAATAAATATCCAACCTCCCTCTGCATGGTGTGCCTATCCATGCCTCTGTCTCTTGCCCACTGTGTAGCTCCCTGCCTGGGACCAGCAGCCTTCAGAGACTTGCCCATTGTCTATCTCTCCTTGTGGGACTGGCTGCCCCATCGAGGTCTCTCACCCACCACGTGGCTCCCTGCCTGGGACTCGTGGCTCACTGTAGCCACTCGGGGAACTGTGGCATCCATGCCTGGGACTGGCTGCTCTCGGGACCGCTGCCCACTGCCGCTGCTTGGTGACCTGCAGTGTTTCTGCCACTGCAGCCACTTGGGGATCCGCAGCATTTTACTTAATCCATTACAATTACTATACTTGGTTTACAGACGCAGAAACGGACTTTAGAATGGTGGCTTTTCCAGCCAGACTAGACTTTGAACCTGGTCTAAACGATCATGGTCAGAAGCTGAGAAACCTGCACACACAGTATGCCCCATGGGGTAAAAATAGACCCACAAGCGTGGAGACCATTTCCATTACCCTGTACAGAAAACACCTGCTCAGTACTTTTTTAAATTTGATTTTAATTGTCTGGGTAACAGAGACTTAAAATACCAGGCAAATGACATCTGCTCATTTTTATTATGACCTTAACAATTCATAGAAACCAAAACTTCCTAAAATAACATTAGAGAGTGGAGAAAGTTATATTTTTTGTTTTTCAAGACAAGGTTTCTTTATGAAACAGTCCTGGCTGTCTAGGAACTCACTCTGTGGACCAGGCTGGCCTCAAACTCACAGAGATCCACCTGCCTCTGCCTCCTGAGTGCTGGGATTAAAGGCGTGTGCCAACACTCCCCCTCCCCCCTTTTTCAGTTGGAAAGTTGTATAACTACAGTTAGAAGCAGTCTCCATGCTCGGTAGTACACTGAACAAGTTTGCACAGCTGGAGTGTGAGGGAGCCGTTATCTGATGTCACACATCGCTGGGCCATTCTCTTAGACCTTGTATTTTCACCCGCTCTGCTCTCTGCCTCACACCCCCTGACATTCAGCCTGCTCCATCAGCTTCTGGAAATTTCAAGCTTAGCTGCTTATGTCTTCCATTATCTGAAAATTCTTGGCCCATCCTGTGTGATTTTTCTGTTATCTCTGTTACATATACGTTTATGTACGTGCAAACACGTGTGTGCATATAACATACTTACTCCTATGACTGTGGTAAGAGCGAAAACACTGTTAATAGGCTCATAATGTTCCTGCTTGATGGGGCCTAGATAAGTTGTGCTTGTCATAATTTATTATTGTCATCAGACATGGCCATATGGCTTTAGCGGTAAACCTTCTTCGTGATTGTGACCCTGTGATAGTCTGTTATTTCTTTCTTTTTTTTTCCTAAATATTTATTTATTTTATTTATTTTTTTATTATGTATACAATATTCTGTCTGTGTGTATGTCTGCAGGCCAGAAGAGGGCGCCAGACATCATTACAGATGGTTGTGAGCCATCATGTGGTTGCCGGGAATTGAACTTAGGACCTTTGGAAGAGCAGGCAATGCTCTTAACCACTGAGCCATCTCTCCAGCTCTAGTCTGTTATTTCTAAGATGTAAGTGGAAGCTGAGTGAGGCTGGTTACAGTCTCAGTTGCCATGGTAATCCGGTGCAGTGAACAGCACAATTATCTGGCCCCATAGTTAATGATATGCATGTTCATTATTGTGCCATGTGGCAATTAGACAGAAGTGGTTAGTTGTTTGGGTAAATGATGTTAATCAGAGGTACATGCACCAGCTGAAGCAAACACGAGGCGAGGCAGTTGGGCTTCGTCAGAGATGACGTTTCTGGAGTGGAGTGCTGGGGTTCTGAGAACCCACGGATTCCGTGAGAACGGGTTTGGAGCACAGTGCTCCAGAGTTTCCTCAGGGTGCTCGCTAGTTTTACTTCAGCTTGACTCAAACTCCAGTCAGCAGGGAGGACAGAGCCTCACTTGAGAAAATACCCCCGTGAGATAGTCTGTAGGCATGCCTGAAGGGCTGAATTTTCTTAATTAGTAATTGATGTGGGAGGGCTCAGCTCGTTGTGGGTGTGGCCACTTTGGGCTGGTGGTCCTGGGTTCAAAGAAAGCAGGCTGAGCAAGCCAGTAAGCGGCACCCCTCCATGGCCTCTGCATCAGCTCCTGCCTCCAGGTTCCTGCCTTGTTTGAGCTCCCATCCTGACTTCTTTCGCTAATGATCAATGATATGGAAGTGCAAGCAGAATAAACCCTTTCCTGCCCAAGCTGTTTGGTCATGGTCATGGTCACAGCCACCCTGAGACACTCAGCCACCGGAGCAGCTGTGAGCCTGCTCCATAACCAGCACCGTGGGAGCAGAAATGTGGGTGGAGACTAGTCCCTAGCAGGCAGCCCAGGAAGCAGGGGGTCTGGGACAGGAAGTCTTCCTGCCCTTTCTCAGTTGCCTCCTGGAGACAAGGTGGTTTGTTTTTGAAGGACTCTCTCAACTGAGGCTCTGGTAGTCAGCAGCTTGACACACACATAAACACACACAGAGACATACACACTCACATGGATGTACACACACACACACACACACACACACACACATGTATTCCACCTTCACATGTTTTCCTTGCTTATAGATGGAAAAGCGAACAATTTCAGTTGCAAAACTTAACAACTTTATTCTTGTAATTTTTTTGGCTCTTCTATTTTGTCTGCTGTGTTACTTTTTGTGGTTGTAAAGGCAATACCTCCTTATGACAAGCATAAAAAGTAAGCTAGCTTGGGATCAGGGATTTGAGCTCAGTGATAGGACCCTTGCCTGGCCTGCAGAAGCCTGCTTTAGATCCGAACTAAAAGCAAAAGCCAAGAAGTCTGTAACCTCACTGTCTGGAGACAGTCACTGTTCGCACGTTTAGAAACATTGTGTTAAATTTAATTTTATGAACATTAGCATTTTGCCCAGGTGTATGTTTGTGTGAGGGTGTCGGGTACCCTGGAATTGGAGTTACAGATAGTTGTGAGCTGCCATGTGGGTGCTGGGAATTGCTGGGTCCATTTGGAAGAGCAGTCGGTCTCTTAACCTCAGCGCCATCTCTCCAGCCCGAAACCTTTATGTTTTGTCTGCATGTGTGTATCTGCACCACGTGCATGCCCGGTACCCTCAGAGTTTAGAGGAGCGTGTTTTGGGTCCTTTGTAACTGGTGTCTGCACCATGGACTGTATGCCCTTTGTAGGGATTTACCAGTTTTAACCATGTTGACACATTTGCTCTTATTTTCCTGATGCACAGCTGGCATTTATGTTTTAGCTGGACTGTTGGGAAATTGATTGAGGATCTACTGATTCTTTGTGTTTCCTGAGAATAAGAACACATTGTTGCAGGACACTGAAATCGAACATGTCTCTGCTATCTACTGTGTGGTCAGATTTTACCATTCCTCCTCCGGCACTGCCTTTTCTTCTGTGGAGTTGTGGAGCTGGGGATGAACCCTAGGACCTCACCTTGCTAGACAAGGGTGCTACCACTGACCTACATCCCCAGCCTCTTGTTTTTTTTTTCTTTTCAAGACAGGGTTTCCTGTGACTATCAGGGCCGCCACACCTCCAGTGCCTGTGTGATCTTTTCCCCAAAGGCACTGCATGCATAAACAGTCTGTTAGGGTGATAGTTTTCTGTGTGCTGAGGTGGGGGTCTCTTGCTGGGTTGCAGTTTGTAGTTCTTTCTTGAAGGTCAAATGCATTCTGATTTCTGTCTCCATTTAGTCTCAAAGAAGATGGAGCAGGAGCCCCGTATGACAAGGAGTCCACAGCCATTATAAAGCTGAATAACACAACGGTTCTTTATTTAAAAGAGGTCACAAAGTTCTTGGCGCTCGTTTGCTTTGTCAGAGAGGAAAGCTTTGAAAGAAAAGGTAATTTCTGATGTGATTTGAAAGAACCGCCTCAGTCCGCGCCGCCTCTGTCGCCTGTTGAATGTGCGTAGACACGGCATGCCCGCCAAGCCTCAGCTTGTGTCAGCTAAAGATGGCTAGCTAGGGAGCAGGAGAGGTGGTCCTCCCTAAGGACGAGCCCACCAATTGGTTGTCCAGTGCCAAATGATCAGCCCGGAAAATAAGCATCCAGGTGGCAGTCTAGGGACTGAGCAGAGCAGGCTATGTTTGGGAACATATACTTGTATACATATGCATGGAGTAACATGGAAAAGAGACCATGAATTTAAGGAGAGCAAGGAGGGAGGAAAGGGAAGAGAGCAATGTCACTAGACTGTAATCTAAGAAAAAGATGGCGAGCTAGGCTCTTGGAGGTGTAGAGCTAGGTGTGTACTTGCACACAGACCTGCACGTTCTACATCTCGTCCCACATTTATCGTTGGTTGTTCTTTCCTGTGCATTTTGGAAGCTGAGGAAAACAAGACCCACGTCGGTGTATAACTTCAGCTGGCAGTGGGTTCTTAAACCTAGGAACATTTGAGCTGGGCTGGAGAACTCATTTATTGTGAACTAATCTTATAATTAACCAAAAAGTTGCAAAAATGGTAAATAATCTTCAGGTCCTCATCTGGCCCCCTTTGACTGACAACATTTGACCTGGGAATTGCCCGTTTCTAGTTGCGATGAACTTGTGCACACTGGCGAGAGTCCCATGCAGACATGCCGCCATGCCCTTCCCGCTCAGATGTTGCTCTTGTCTGTCTGCTCCTGGGGAGCCTCTACTAAAGTCTTGTCAGGGTCCCCACTACAAAGTTTCTAAAGGTAAATGCTTCATGCTGCACAAATACAGTTGCTCGTTTAGCCTTCACCGTTAATTTTAATATCTGATGTGTGAAACTAAGTTTAAGTAGAAACTGATCGTATAGATCTTTGGTGAATTATTATGAAGCCACAATCTCTGATGGCAGGCAGGTTTTGTAGGATATAGTAAACTAACTAGAAACCTAGTTGTTGAGTTTAATTTAATGCTATAACTAAGGAATATAGGGAAATGGGCACATTTAAAACTTCATCATCTTTTTTTTTTTTTAATTGTTGTTTTGTTTCCCCCAAGACAGGGTTTCTCTGTGTAGCCCTGGCTGTCCTGGAACTCAAACGCTTGATGTAGTAGGTCCACCTGTGTCTGCCTTCCGCGTGCTGGGATTAAAGGCGTACACCACCAATACCCGGCCCTCAGCTCATATTTAATGTGTATGTGTTGTGTGTATGTGTGTATGTTAGGTGGTGTCTTTCCATATTGTTTGTCTCAAAAAATAACCAATCCCTACTTAATTATTTAGTTATTTTTGAAACAGGGTCTCACTATGTAGCCCTGGCTGGCCTTGAACTCAGACGGGTTCTGGGGAATTTAGGTTGTCAGGCTTGTGAAGCCAGCCTTTTCTGAAAATAAGAAAAAAATGTTTGTTGCTATTATTGTATGTGTGGAGTTGGTTCTCCCCTTCCACCTTGATTTGTGTTTGGGGGTGGAATTTAGTTAGGTCCGGCAGGCTTGCATAGCAAACACACCTGCTGAGTCATCTTGACAGCCTTGATTTCTCTTAATTGCAATTAGTCTTTAATCTGAATGATTAGAAGAAGTTAGTGCAGTTCAGTGGTTTCTCACATCTTTGAGGGCACGGACACCTTTGGAGATTTGTGGAAAACTCTGAGAAGCTCCTGGAATAGTCTCTTCAGGAAACACCCACCTCTCCTGACCACCTGCCATGCTGGACCTGTTCCGTGATTGTGCCTCTGCTGCCCCCTGCTGGCAGCGGGTGCCATGAGTGACAGGTTGTGTCTCGGGCCACTCATTTACAGTGTCCTTTTTTCTTCTCCTGCAGGCCTTATTGACTACAATTTTCACTGCTTCCGGAAGGCCATCCATGAGGTGTTCGAGGTGAGAATGAAGATGGTGAAATCTCGAAAAGCCCAGAGTCGCTTACGGAAGAAGAAAGGAGCTACTCCTAACGGGACCCCTCGCGTGCTGCTGTAGGGGGGCTATCAGGAGCCTGAGCCCACACTTGTGATGGGGGTGCCGAGCCACACTGCACCTCAGGAAGGAGGAGCCTGCGACACGGACGTAGATTTGTTCAGGACAAAGAAAGTACTCTCTTTTTAAAATAAAATGAGCTCTTCGAAGCAAAAACCTGTACAGTAACAAAGTGAGCCCACTCTATCGCTGCATAAATGTAAACTTCCGTGTTGATAATCAGAAAACCCCCCCGTGAGAACTGCCAGGAACTGTACATATTTTGCACTTTTTCACATTTTTCCTCTAGAGATGAACTTTGATAAGGACTTTTTCTAAACTCTCAAGGGCGTGCATACTATGGTCCATACGGCCATCGGAAATTCATCCAAAGTAATACATTGGTGAAGACTTTTTGTAAATTGGGGAACCTTTGCTACCAATTGTTATGGGGGAAATCATTTTTCAGTGGAGCAGGGATAGTAGGTCTGGGCTGGGAGCTCCAGGCAAGAACAGTAAGAACTTGTGTTTGTAATGAGTGTGAATGGGAATTTTCTAGAAGAATATCAGGACCAGTCTTCCATCCAAGTCTGTATCCCTATTGGCCATGCCTTCCTACCCACCCAGTCTTTATGAAACTCCCTCCCTCGGCACACGTCTTTGTAGTCGGTGTGTTCAAGTGGGTGACTTCTTTCTGCTGCGTTATTCTAATGAACCTTAGGGACCAGATTTCTAAAATGATGCCGGTTAGTATAAAGATATATGAATGTTGTTTGAGGAGACGGGGGAAATAGTATGGATTTGTTGGGAATGTTCTGGAGGTACTTCTGTACCTGCCAAGGAGGTAAAATAACAGGCCGAGAGGGTTCCCAGAGAGTCCCAGTGGCAGATGGCCTCTCAGACTAGATACATTTGTGTACATGTGTGTATCTGGCTCCTGTGAATGGCCTCTTGTGCTATGTTTAAAGTCTTTGTTCAGGACCAGTTTTTAGTGCTCCATGGCCACAGGCATGGAGCAGGTCTTTCGTCTTCACTATGGAGTTTAGTCCTTGGTGGCTTCATTTGGTACCCGAATCACCCGTCCATCTGTGACAGTGTGCCTTGTGTCCTCCCTCCCGTGCCTACCAAGTTCAGCTTGCTACCAACTTGCTCTGTGAGAGAATTCTGACACAGGAAAGCTTGTGGCCTGTGGGAAAAGGTCCGCCTCAAGAGGTCTAAGTTAGCCATGGGTTCGTTTTTCTAGATGAGCAGAGAATTGAAGTCCTAAATCTAGGTCTGTACCAAGCCATTCCAAAGGTTAGCACTGTCAGGCATGTATGACCCTAGAAAAGATTCCTAGGGACATCAGTGCTGCTCTTGCAAAAATATATGAAGTGTTTAAAGCATTTTGTCCCTTCTTATCTAGTTGCTTTTCCTTCCCCAAGTCTTATACTTGGTTTCTTGCTTGTTTATTGTTTGTGTGTGGTTTGGCTGTCCTGGAAGTCACTATGTAGACCAGGCTAATCTTGAAGTCATAGATCCATGTGACTCTGCTTCCCCTGAGTGCTGGGATCAAAGGTGTGCACCACCTTGCTGGGAGAGGTCTTCCGAAGCTGCTAACAATGATGGATGTCTGATGTTGCAAGCTGAGCCTCCAGTAGTCTGTGCGGTACTAAGGGGTTTCTAGCACTCCTTACAGCATTGTGGCTCCTTCCTTACGATCCCTGTGCAGAGACCACAAAGGAATTGTTAGGCGCCTGGAACCCCAGAGAAGTTTCCGTTCCCTTAATTTTCAGAGCTGTTCCCTGATGGGCCTTGGCCAACAGGTTGGAAGGAGGTTGGCTACCCTGAAGAGTCTAATTCCCCCTCCCCCAACACACACACACACACACACACACACACACACACACACGAGAGAGAGAGAGAGAGAGAGAGAGAGAGAGAGAGAGAGGATGCTGTTTGTTTGCTTTTTTGAGACAGGGTTTGAGATGGCCCAGGCTGCTCTCAAACTTGCTATGTAGCCCAGGGCTATCTCCCACTTCTGATCCCTCTGCCTTCACTGCCCCGTAGTGCTGGGATTATAGCAGTACACCAACATGCTTGTCTTGAACAGTGCTGAGGACTGAGCCCAGGGCTCTGTGCACGTTGGGCAGGTTCTCTATTAAGCACATGTATCCCGGTTCCTTTTCTTAATAGTTTTTACAAAGTATTTCTCATTGAACAGAGAATTGCATTTTTAATAAGACTTTATTTTTTAGGTAAGACATCTGCCTGTCTGGTAAACCACATAAAATTGCCATGTAGAAGTGGAGCTTCCGTTTTGAAGCTGGTTATATAATGGGTTTTTGTTGAAATGTGCCTTAAAAGCCCATCACTTCACAGGCGTGTGATCAATCCTGGAACATAGGGCCCACGTTCCTGATCACAGACGCACTCTCGTTACTCATGCTGATTCGGATCGATTCCTGCCTCCGGCCTCGTGTGACAGTGACTTCTGAAGATGCAGGAGTTACAGCTGAGGGGTGAGGTTTTCCGGTCTGGGACTGGGATTACTACAGATCTTCACATTCGTTTCATGTTTTCTCTTAGATTTGGGAGTTAGCCTAAGGCACTGTGTAGATCTGTGTGGATGCTCAAGTGCAACCCAGAAAGGGCAAACTCCTGGCTACGGGCGGCCGCACTAGGACAGTTTCGTTTGGTTTTAGGAGTTGCGAACGGGAAGATTTGTAGAGCAGGACAGGCTTTTGATTTTTGAGTCAAGTACTTCTGGGTTTTGGTCGGACTGACTGGCCGTCTTAGCTAACTTTTAGTCGTGCAGATCAGTGTGAGTGATCAGGATAGAGTGTTTTCAAAGGAGTAGAAATAAAAGCTGATTAACATTTACCAAGTGTTATTTTGTGAACATTATATATTTTGGATCCTTAAATAAGAAACGACTAAAAATCACAGCAATACTATTATGTGTGGGTTATATGCCAACTGTCTGAAATGGAATTCACAAAAACAACGGCGCTTTTGTGCGATTAAAGTTCTGTATGCGCTCAACAAACAGACTGGGTGTTGTTTGGAATCGAGCACACTGTTTGACTGTTGATAGTACGTCATTTGTAACAACTGTGGGCCAGCCTGGTCTACAAAGTGAGTTCCAGGACAGGCTCCAAAGCTACACAAAAAAAACCCTGTCTCGAAAAAATAAAAAGAAAAAAAAAGATGATTTAACTCACATTCTAAGGAATCTGATGCTCTCTTTGGCCTCCATAAACACTGCATGTACATGGTGCATGTATCTATGTGCTGAAATTCAAAAACTAGATGATTTAAAGCACTATTTAATGTACATTGCTATACATGTAAATGATATAAAGTCCATTTAAATTATCCGTATATTTAAATCTTTGCATTTATATCACAAATTATATAAAATATTGGTTAGATGAACTGTCTTCCTCCCACAATTCTGTTCAGCTCTTCACCTCTCCTTCTCATTCCTTCCTCATCGTCAGGACGTACTGGATGACCTAACAGCCTTCTTGGTGTTTCAGACCCTACACACCTCAAGTTTAGTGCGTTACTGTCAGTGGAAGCTTTACTGGATTGCAGACCAATTTGCTTGTTTGAGACAGGTATTCTGGAGCTTGCGGTCTTCCCCTCAGCCTCCCAGAGAGCTGGGATTACAGCTCTGTATGATCTGTAATTTCTTTTGGTTTTTCCTGGTGCTGGGATCTACACCAGGCGCTGCTACACCGGTGAGTGCTCTATCATTAAGGCACCCTCGGGCCAGAGGGCTGTTTCACTCTGCGTACTAGTAATCGCCACAAATAAGGGCTTCTATTTTCTTTCTTTTCTTTTTTCTTCTCTCCCTTCTTCCCTTCCTTTCTCTCTTTTTTTGGTGTTTTGAGACAGGATTTGTCTGTGTAACAGCCCTGGCCATTCTGGAACTCACTCTGTAGACCAGGTTGGCCTTGAAGTCACAGAGATCCACCTGCCCCTGCCTCCCGAGTGCTGCTTCTTTCTTTCCTCGATGATTCCTCAAGAGCCTTCTAATAACGATGACCGCCATTGCATGTCCCCCAAGCTCACCCCTCAGCAATGATTGGCATGACTTTTGTCTCTCTGCGCCCATTCAAGGTGGGTAGCTTTTATAACGGAAAATGGCTACCATTTCAGGATTTTTAAAAGGTATCTTGTCTTCCTGAACAGTATTTTAGTCGAAACCAACGGATTGAAAGTCCAAAAATTCTACTTCCTACTAGGCCACATCTGTCAGATATTACTGTTTACAAATACCTGCATCTCAACTCTACTTCAGGTCTCTGGGGAAGTAAAACCAGTGCCAATGGTTTTTCATGAGACAGGCAGGTTGTGGGCCTCTTGGGTGCTGAGTGCCCAGAGTGCGGAAGTCCAGGGTTAGGCTGTCAAGCTTTGCCTATACTGCACGTTGAGTCTCGAGGGAAAGCAGTATAGTGCTATCACGAGTGAGCTAAGGAAACCGGTAAGTATTGCCCAGAATGCCGGGGCCCCAGAAGTGCTCTCAGAAATTCCATGATTCCTGTATGTGTGGACCTGTATCTGCCGAATGAAGAACGCAACATGTATTTAGGAACTTTTTTTTTTAAAGTTTGTGGCTATTACAGTGAAAAATACAACAATCTGCTTAAAAAGTATTGAACTCAGCGTTTTACTGAGATTGGTTCCTAGCGAGTAGGAACTGACGCATTGGCGCGCAGGGGCTGCGCTCTAAGCTATGCAGGTTGGTATGAAGGCTTCGAAACTTCACCAATCAGCAACTGGCTAGCTAGGAACCGGGGAGTGATAGGCAGGAGTGGCAGAGTCGGGACAAGGGGGAAAAGGGCACAGGCAGAGTGGCCGAGGGACCCTGCATGAAGAGCTCTTGAGATGCGTCCGAGGGCACTGCCCAGCTGTCTGCAAACACATCGGATGCCTCCCGCCCCCGCCACAGTTCGATCACAGCTGCAGGTGTTTCCTCTAGAGCCGAATTTAGACGATGAGAGCCCTCTAGCCAATTGGTTCATAAGAACCGAGAGAAAGGAGGATACAGGTTGTAATCTTCGTTACTAATTTAAGACAGAAACCTTTTTTAGCTTTACTTGTTTTCTGTGAGTGAGTATCTTGTCTGTGTGTGTATGTGTCCGGCGCTGATGGACATCAGAGGAGTGCATGGGATCCCTTGGAACTGGAGTTGCTGATGGCTGTGAGCTGCCAGCTGAATCCCAGTTCTCTGCAAGTGCTTTTAACTGTTGAGCCAGCTTAGCCCATTACTAATTAAAAAAACAAAGCTTCAAAGTGTAAAAGAAACAAAACAAAACACAAAAACCACAGTCTAAATAAAAACAAAAGCGCAAGTCAGGGTAGGGTCCTTCCCTCATCCCTGATTCTGCAGTTCTGGGGGATACCACACGGCTCACAACGATATTAGCCAAGTGAATCTTAAAGAAAATACAGATTAAAAAGCCACAAGAAAAAGTGATGCTGTAAATGGCATTATATTGGTGTTTCCAGTAGACTCTGTCTTCTGGTGTCTTTCATTTTGTCTTTTGTTTGGGGACTCCCCATCTGCTTCTCTCTTTTCCCTCCCAAGTTCCATGCCTCTCTCTCTCCTCACCAGGTCCCTCCTGCCCAGCTTGCCCTCCTCTGTTTCTTCCAGAGTCTCTGCCCCTCAGAGTCTGATCTCAACCCTTCTTACCCTCCTTGCTAGCTCCCATGCATGGCCTCCCAAAGAGCCAGAACCTAGTTAACACCCAGCTTCCTCCCTGAGCCCACAGGGGGCAAGTTCTATGTGATAAGGTCCCAGCTGGGGCAGGATGGCCTGTGGCACAGGGTGTGTGGTAGCAGTGGGTGTCCCCAGAGCCGGTCTGTGATGTGGGTGGGAGCAGAGCAGCCCCTCTTCTCCACAAAGATCCCAGGCAGCCTATGGTCCAGGACTCCACCTCAGAGTGACTATGGGCGCCAGTTTTTTTTTGTGTGTGTGTGTGGCTGGGTCCCTCTAGCTGCCCTGCTTGGGCAGGAGACTGAAGCCAGAAGCTATGCTAGGTCTCTGGGGTCTCCAAGTCTGCTTCCTCTGATACGGCCCTTTTATTTTGGGGACTCCCTTGCCCTGTGTCAATCAATGGTCTGCCTTTGTTTCTGCCTGAGTCCAGAGACTCTTGTTTTTGTTTCTGCTTCTCAGTTACAGATAAATGTTATTATTATGGATAATAATTTTTGAAAATTTTATATTGTTTTTGTTCACTAGAACCTGGGTCAGGAGATGGGATCTAACCTGCTTACTTCAGCCTTAAGCATGATTCTGCATGCAGTCATGCTAAGCACAAATGAAATTCATTTTCAGAGACAAGCTTGGAGGGTGAGTACAGTCTATAGCTAGATCCCCTTGTATAGTCTTCTGTGTATGTTGTTCAAGTTAAGCCTAAAGTAACTCAAAACAACTAAAGTAAACTTAAGGTTTGTTCAATGTGAAATAATATGAATAAACCTGATTTTTGGTGGGGTGCCCGTCTTTAATCTGAGTACTCTGGAGGCAGAGACAGGCAAATATCTGAGTTTGAGGCCAGCCTGGTCTACACAGAACGAGTTCCAGGACAGCCAGGGTTACACAGATTACACAGATAAACACTATATATATTATCTATCTATCTATCTATCTATCCATCCATCCATAAAAAACAAAAACAAAAATTTCCTGGTTTTTTAAAAACAAGTGATTGAGTAAAATGGATTAAATTTACAATACGCTTGCATGGCAGACATCTCCAGGGTCAAGTAGTGCCCTTTCCCTCGGGTGGGACATGAACCCCATCAGAGTCAACTGATAACCTGGTGAAGAGAGAAGTAAACAAAATCCAGCTCCAATGTGCTTCTCCACTGATCCTTCATTCTTTGTGTTCTCTCCTCCAGCGTAACACCTTCCCTGTCGTTGCTTAGCAATGGACCTCATAACCAGGCCTGCAGGGGCCTGTGGTCATTCCGGTCCTACCACCAGTCTCTGGGTGCTCGCCCCTGGAGTTCCCCTTCCAAACAAGAGCAATAAGGGTACTTCCCTTTTGTTTTATTCTCAACGCCATCAACATCAGGCCCTTTGGGGGCTCTCCTCTGTAGAAAGTCAGCTCAGTAGGAAGTACGGCCTCTCCTTCTTTAGCTGAAAAAAACCAGCAGCAGCAAATCTGGCATCAAATTATGTCAAAACTTAATCATAATTGCTGCAGGAGAAAACTCAACTTCAATTTTCTCTAAATTGAAACATGTACAGAGGGGAAAATATGTTGATGAAAAGGAAGTGATACTACGTAAAGGTTACAAAATTTTTGACTAACTAGATAGGAAGGGAATTTTCCCCCAAAAAGTTTAGGTCTGTCAAAAGAATGCTTTATTTTATCAGAAAACCAACTTCTTCCTAGAAGAAAGTTACAATTTAGAGGAGACAAAAGGTTCTATCCCAGGACTAATTTGGAAAATCAATCTCTCTCTCTCTCTCTCTCTCTCTCTCTCTCTCTCTCTCAAAGCTGTCTCAGGAGCTACCACAAATGACAGAAGATGAAGTTCAAAACACTTCAGGGTTTCTCTGTGTATCCCTGGCTGGCAGTTCTGAGTTATAATCCCCATGTGTTCCCCCTTTTCCCCCCTAGAGATCAACCAAACCCCTTTGAATGTGGGTCCCCTGCCCTCAACATTCACAACCTGGGACAAGGTCTTTGTGTTGAACGCTTGATCAATTCATTGATTCTTCATAAGTTATTCTTCATATTCCTCAGAGTGTTAAAAATAACAGGTTTTTTAATGGGTGAAGTAAATTGAAGTCTTAAAGAAATTAAGCACAGGAGAACCAGGGCTAAAAAAAGAAAAGAAATCAAGCAATTCATTTAAGTTTTCAGTTTTATTCGGGTACAAGTTGTTTTTTTTTTTTTTTTTTTTTTTTTTTTTGGTTTTTCGAGACAGGGTTTTTCTGTGGCTTTGAAGCCTGTCCTGGAACTAGCTCTGTAGACCAGGCTGGTCTCGAACTCATAGAGATCCGCCTGCCTCTGCCTCCCGAGTGCTGGGATTAAAGGCATGCGCCACCATCGCCCGTCTCTGGTACAAGTTATTATCCTATATCATTGCCGTTATAGTTTAGGTGTAACGTTATGGACCACCACACCATACGAAGTCAAATTACAACCCTTTATTTAAGCCAGCGACCAAGAGCAGAGTCTTGCCCCAAAGAAACTCTCAGCACCAAAGCTCAGGGTACAGCGTTTCTAAAGAGAAACCACAGTGACATTGTCAGGTGCAGGTCAGGGCAACCTGGTGGCATTTGTTTTGACTTTTGAGCAGATATTTTGGTTATGCATCTGGGCCATGGGAAGTCCCAATGTGCTGCCAAGGCGGACGTGACTGGTCAGATCAGGTTGGGGCTGAAAAAGTGCCCAACCAGACACAAAATGGAGTCAGGGTAAGAACGGGACAAAATGATGTTACCTTAGTCACCTCACTCTGCATTTCTTTTACTTTTCAAATACTTGACTTTTATGAAGGAGCAGGGATTGAGAAATAATCGGTTAATTAATCAGGGCCCAGTCATTACACCCACGATGATGTTGCAAGGATCCAAGGGGCCTGTGAGTAAGACCTTAGCATGGATTCCGATCAAACCAGCTATGGAACCAGGAACCACTGGCCTTTTTTACTTATCATTTACAGGGGTTTCAAGGGCCAAGCGTTTCGGAGGGCTAGTCAGGCATAACTCATTTAAAAAATCAGACAGGTTTTTTTTTTGTTTGTTTGTTTGTTTGTTTTTTCGAGACAGGGTCTCTCTGTGGTTTTGGAGCCTGTCCTGGTACTACCTCTTGTACACCAGGCTGGCCTCGAACTCACAGAGATCCGCCTGCCTCTGCCTCCCGAGTGCTGAGGAAATCAGTTTTAAAGTACATATTTTTAGATGAAGCAGAGCTAGTAAGAGTTTGCGACAGACCCCAGTTCTGGGGAGCCCTATACGAAACATTATGGCCAATATTAATAGGACGGGAATTGGAAGCCAAGGTAAAGGGCATGACCACCAGAACTAGCGTGCCGGTCCCAAAACCAGTCCACAGCAGGTACAAGGTTTACCCCATTCGCCATACACTCAAATGCTAGTTAAGAGTGGGAGACATTAAGCGCAGGGCAGTAGCTATTTGCCTATTGCTCGAGACACTGAGGATGTGAATCCAGATCTCAGATCCTCCACCGGGCAAGAGAAGCCATTCCCTGTCATGTGAGACATGGGGCCTAATTCCTCCTATCATCCCGCGAGCTCCGGGGAACAACGGGGAAGCCGCCGGTCTTCACCGGTCCCGCCACGAAGCGCCCGCCACGTCAGGCCGACCTCACAGAGCCGGCGCGGGCGGTGACACAGCGGCGCGTTGGCTCTGACGTCATCCCCGCAGGCCGTCCGCAGCCCGGCTCCCGGCTCGGCGACGCCCCGGCGCCCCGCCGGCCCTCAGGGAGGCGGACCCCGCGGCCCGGCCTCGCCTCGCGCCTCGCCCGCGGTCGGGCCGGACTGGGCGGTGTCAGCGGAGGCCCTCGGCAAGCGCGTCCGCCGCCGCGCGACACCCGGGCAGCCGCGGCGCCGACGGGAGCGGCAGCGGGAGCCCCGCCATGGAGACCCGCTACAACCTGAAGAGCCCGGGTGAGCGGGGCTGGGGCGGCTGGGCGGAGGCTCGGAGGCTCGGAGCGGCGCCTCGGCCGGCTCGCGTACCCCCGGTTCTCGCGGCTATTCCGGGTTCGCGCTTTACGCGAGGCCGCTGCGGGTCCCGGGGTGCAGGCCGCAGGGCGGGGCGGCCGCTGCGGAGCCCCAGGCCGGTTGTCGCCCCAGGGCTCCAGACGTTCCCTTCCCAGTCCCCGCCGAGTGGAGCTGGCGACGGTCCTGCCAAGGGCAGGTGTACAGGCGACGTCAGCGGGAAGTACTGACCTATCCCTTCTGGCTGTACTCGCATCCTCAGGACCCTCTCTGTCGCTGCCGAGTAACTTTGTTAGGTGTTTGACTCGCATTTTGGGGGATCTGTCGTTGAAATATCCCATTTCAGTGTTCGGAGAAGAACAGAATTATAGACATTAAAAAACATGTCCTGTAACTGAACTAGTTGAGCGGTGTACTTGAAAATTAATCATGATTGGATGGGGGTGGACTGCTAATTTGTCTGAATTCACGCGGAGAATTTATTTCCTTCCTTTAGACAATCCCGGCCTCCAGTTTTTGTTTTTTGTTTTTTGTTTTTTTTTCTGGCGCATTAAAAACAATGCAAAAAACAAAAACGTCCTCTCCACCCAACCAGAAAACAAAAACGAACTCCCCAAACCATGATCAATTCTCTAATATTAAGGCTGGTGTGATATGTGTTACTGGATTCTGTAAATGGTATTTATTCTAAATGTACCCTGATAAATTTGTCAGGAGAAGAAACCCCGTTAGCTCTGAATAAAAAGCTCAGGGTATTGATTCTTGAACTAGTACCCTTGCCGCTGTTTTTGTGTTTTCTTTCCCACACCGTTACCTAGTTTGGACTTTAAAGTCTAACATCCATATGGGATATTGTGAGTCTTTGATTAAAAAAAGTTCAGACTATAGAAATGAAAGCCCGAGGATATTGACTGGACAGAATGTTGTCAGCTTGAATACTGACAAGCAAGTGTCCTTCAGTGCAAGGTTTGTAGAATCCGTCATACTTTAGGAGATTTATTTAAAATAGGCCGTGTCTGTGCAAGAATGATATTTACACAGCTGATTTTTATTTTTCCAAGACAGGGTTTCTCTATGTAACAGTCCTGGCTATCCTGGAACTCACTTTGTAGACCAGGCTAGCCTCGAACTCACAGAAATCCAACTGCCTTTGCCTCCCGAGTGCTGGAATTTAAGGGTGTGTGCCACCGCTGGCCGGCAACACAGCTTAATTTTAAAGGGACCACATCCTCTGTCTTCAGCCTATCACTTACAACCTAAAGAATTAAAAAGAGGCAGAGAAAGTAGAAATGCTTGAATGTTACCAATTTGATGCCAGAATGGTTGAATTAGTTGGAGTTTAAAACTAGAACTGCGGGGCTGGGGAGGTGGCTCAGTGGTTAAGAGTATTGACTGCTCTTCCAGAGGACCTGGGTTCAATTCCCAGAATCCATATGGCAGCTAACAAGTGTCTGTAACTCCAAGGTCTGACATCCCAACACAGGCATACGTGCAGACAAAACACCAATGCACGTAAAAATAAAATCAATTAATTAAAAAGAAAGTAGAACTGTGGTAAGTTGTGTGCGCTTTGTTACTCACACGGTTGTTCCAGATCAGCAGATGCACTTGGGTGAATGTCAGCGAATAACGCCTCGTGAAATGTTGTCAGGAAATTGCTCAATCTTTTTTTTAATGATTTAATTTATTGATTTATTTTTTTAATGTGAATTGTTTTGCTTGTATGTATATCTGTGTGAGGGAGGGTGTCAGATCCCCTGGAACTGGAGTAACAGTTTGTGAACTGCCATGTGGGTGCTGGGAATTGAACCAGGGAATTATCTGGAAAAGCAACTAGTGCTCTTAACTTCTGAGCCATCTCTCCAGCCCCAAATTGCTCAATCTTGATAGGTTATCGTACTCGAGATTATGATAAAATTTAAGCAACTTTAGAAATTAATACATTGATAGCTGGGTATGGTAGGATGTACCTTTAATTCCAGCATTTGGGAGGCAGAGGTAGGCAGATCTATGTGAGGTCCAGTCTGGTCTACATAGTGAGTTAATAAATTTCCAAAGTATGTTGAGTTTTGATTAACTTTTGTATCTTTTTATAAATTCCATCCTGTTTTTAGTTTCCTCAAAGATTATGGTATTCTAAAAGGAAAGTTTTAAAAATTTTTTCCTGTTGGTGTAGATGATTTTGATTTTATCGAGAAGGTGAATTAGATGAGCCATAAAACTTGTTAAAATACTAAGAAGCTTGGTGGTAATGCTTGCTTTGTTTTAGTCTCAGACCTTCATTATTTGTAGATTAATGGCTCCGTGAAAGGAAGTAAACATCTCATTTCCTATCTGCTGGTGTTGGATTATCTCCAGCCCTCTATGTTGTTTTAGTGTTTATGTATTTAGTGTGCGTGTTTGTGTTTGTGTGTGTATGCGCCACGGCACTCAGATGAAGATAAGAGGACTCAGTGCTTTCCTTCCATCAGGTGGGACTCAGAAGTCAAACTCATGTTGTCAGGCTTGGTGGCAAGTGCCTTTACCTACTAAGCAACTCGCTGTCACATTTTCAGTTTTTTTTTTTTAAAAGTAAACACATTCACAGTGTCTTTGTAAGTAAAAACATTAGTTCTTAAACTTTTGCTGACATGCCTTCATTCTTGGGAACAGGAAGAGGCAATTGGGAGCATCATTTAGGACTCAGGTTTTTAATGCACCTGCCTCCTGAAATTCACCATGTCTTGGGAATTGGCTATAGTAAGATAGGGACTTCCCAAGGGAACTGATGATTGGAAGACATGGCCTATAAAAGATCCCTTTATTTGTATGTTTCTGGTTCTAAATGTAGTGTAAGCAGTGAACTAGCTGGGCGAAAGAGGAGAGCAGATGCTGGGGCCATGGAGCCTAAAGTCTTGATCCGGAGAGACCAGATGGCCTCCATAAACGGCTTAGGAGTAGGAATGCAGCTGTCAGTCCCTTCTTTAATTGATGTTGTCTCCCACACTCTGAGAGCTCTAGGAAATAATCTTGCAAGGAGAGAGGAGCAGGGGCTGAAGCAAGAGATGGGCTGTCAGGAGGAAGTCGCCACTCTAGCCTGGCAGCTCTTTGTACCTTGACATTCCATAGAGACCCTTCTCCTTAGGAATCGAATCGGTATTTTTAAGTGGCTTTAAAACAGGAATGTGATGGCTAGTTTTTATCTGGATTCCTTTGCTGTTGCTGTGATAAAATACTCTTGACAGAAGCAGCTGCAGGGTGATTGCGTTTATTCTTGGCTCACAGTTCATTGTAGTGGGGAAGTTGTGGCCGCAGGAGCTTGAGGCTGTAGTCACATGGTATCTAAAGTCAAAGTGCAGAAAGTCCTCTCTCTCTCTCTCTCTCTCTCTCTCTCTCTTTCTCTTTCTCTCTCTCTCACACACACATACACACACACACACACACACACACACAATTATATGTATAGGTATATATGTGTATACGTGCACAGAGTCCAGGATCCTAACTTAGGAAATGGTGCCATCCACAGTGGGTGGGTCTTTCCACTTCAATAATCAGATCAAGATAATCTCCTATGGTCATAACTAGAGGCTTATGTCCCAGATGATTTTATGTCTCATCAAATTGACAGTTGAAATTAACCATCATAACATTGGGTTGTCAGCCTGACAGTGGATGAGCCTCTGAGCATTTCCTGTGAGGGACTGGATTATATAGATTAGGCTAACCTTAACTGTGGGGTGCACCATCCCATGGTCTAGGGTTCTGGACTGATAGACAACATGAGCTGAGTTCTGGCACTTGTCTCTGTGTTTCCTGACTGTGGATGTAGTGTAACCAGCCAGTTGCCGCATGATCTCCCTACCATGAACTAACTACCTTGGGAGTGAGGATAGACCCTTCTTTTAAAGTGCTTTTGTCAGTAGGGGAAGTAATAGAAGAGGACTTTTATTATATTTGTACTGGCTGGTTTTATGTCAACTTGATACAAACTAGAGTCATCAGAGAGGAAGGAGCCTCAGTTGAGAAAAATGCCTCTGTAAGATTCAGCCGTAAGGCATTTTCTTAACTAGTGATCAATTGGGGGGAGTGCCCAGCCCATTGTAGGTGGTGCCATCCTTGGGCTGATGGTCCTGGGTTCTATAAGAAAGCAGGCTGAGCAGGCCAGTAAGCAGCTCTCCTCCATTGCTTTTGCACCAGCTCCTGCCTCCAGAATCGGCCCTCGTTGAGTTCTTTTCCTGACTTCCTTTGGTGATGACGGCAATGTGGAAGTGTAAGCTGAATAAACCCTTGCCTCCCCAACTTGCTTTTTAGTTATGGTGTTTTGTTGCAGCACTACAGACCCTAAGACATCACTGTTAGCATCATTGTTAGTTTTATGATTGTGTGTGCAGGTGTGCGTGTGCCAAGGTGAATGTGTGAAGGTCAGAGGACAACCGTCCTGCGTCAGTTCTTGCTTTCACCTTGTTGATGAAGACTCTTGCTGTTTCTGCTGTGTGCTCTAGTTGGCCTGCAGGTGCTTTTCTTGTCTCCACCTTGTCTTACAGTATTGCTGGCTTTACAAACAGGCATGCCCTGAGTCCTGGCTGGGGATTGAACAAGATCTGCTGAGCCACCCTAACAGCCTTCAGTCTCCCTCCACGGGCCTCTAGATGGGAGGCCCTGACCTTCCACACTGACCTTTTCAACCAAAACAGAGAGGGATTGTTTTTTCCTTTTTTTTTTTTTATCAGTGTTGAATAAAAAGTTTTTAATGTCAAGTTTATTTAAAAAATGTTGCCAGTCACAGTTCCAGATTCTTGGACAAGAAATGATGGAAGACTTTAACATTCATCTGTTGTATTTTTATACTTTCTGTTCTAAGCTCTGAAGAGGCCATAGTGAAGTAGAGCCTTCCACTACTTAGCAGGAAAGACAAGGGCTAAACAGGTACTGTAGGTACAGTGTCGTGACATCACATAGGAAGAGACTCAAGCTGGTCCCAACATGACTGGCCATTAGGATCATTGGAAGAGGAGTCCTAGTCTCTGTCCTATTTCAGACACTTTCATTTGCCCACATGAGAATCTCTAGTCCCTCTGGGAAGGACAGGTAAGTATCAAGTGGACCTTTCTGAAGAAATTGCTTGAAGGTGATACTCGCCTTTAATCCCAGTGCTCAGGAGGCAGAGGCAAGTGGATCTCTGTGAATTCCAGGCCAGCCAAGGCTGCATAGTGAAACCTGTCTAAATCAAATCCAAAGTGAAATAAGACAATAACAAAAGGCATTGCTTATATGTAGGAGCCAGTCTAGATGGTGACAGGTGCCAGAACAGTTTTTTTTTTTTTTCTCCACTTTGTAGACCACGCTGGCCTCTGAACTCTGCCAGCCTCTGCTTCCCAAGTCCTGGGATTAAAGGCGTGCAGACACTGGCTGGCCAGAACAGCTTTGCAAACGGAGGAAACAATAAGTAAGGAGGCCTGGAATAGAGAAAAGGTAGGGTGTGTCTGAGAAATGAATGAAGTTGAGTGTCTAGAATCTGGAGGGAGAGGTTGTGTCAAACATGTATGTTTCTACTAAAGATGTTTTCATGCTGTGTTAATACCGACTGCCTCTTAACTCTTAAGCTCCTTGATGCCCTAGAATTTTATAATTGTAGTTGCCACTTTTAGCTCCTAGTAAGTACTTGAAGTATTTGATAAAGTGGATGAACTTGCTTTAGAGTAGTAGATGGAAAAGAATATTAACAGTTATGAAGTAAACTTAGTTTAAGTTGTTTGAAAAAGTCTTGCTGTGTGGCCCAGGCTGGCCTCAAACTTGAAATCTTCCTGTCTTGACCTCCTGCGTTCAGGGGTTACACCTGTGTGCCCTCAATCCTGGCTAGGTACTTTTTAAAGCCTAGATCAAAAAACCCTAGACTCGGGCGACACTGTATGAAAAGCAGCACCAGATTGATCTGGTTTTGTGTGTGGGAGTTGCTTCCCCATTAGCCTGTGTCTCCCACACTCTAACCTTTGTATGGTTCACTCTATCTTCTCTGCCTGTTCCTACCCGTCTGGAGCTTCCTGCTTTTTATTTTTCAACTACCTGGTTTTCTTTCAAGGGAAAGTAGGTAGGTAGGACCTGTTTTCTTCTGTCTGCTTTCCGTAGACCGGGGTGTCCTTGAACTCACAAAGATTCACCTGCCTCTACCACCTGAGAACTGGGATTAAAGGCATGCGCCTCCACACCTGGCTAGAAGGGTTTTTATCAGCCTGTGCCAATCACTTGGACAAGTATGTTTTAAATATCTCCATTTTCTTTTAGCTGTTAAACGACTGATGAAAGAAGCGGCCGAATTGAAAGACCCCACCGATCATTACCACGCTCAGCCTCTGGAGGTTGGTTTCTGTCTCTCCTGAGGACTGCAGTGCTTCAGTGTCCATTGCTTTGACTGTTGATGTGTTTTGAGCTTCTTATTGATCTTCTGTATTCTGTTCATGAGTGTTTTATTAGCCTTTTGTCTGGCTCCTTTGGCAACACAACTTAGGAATTCTGTCTGTGAGTGATGTTTACTTGGTGTTCAGTATGGAGGGAGGGAGGGTCAGTAAAAACGCACACACTGCACTTTCAGGAAGACTCAGACCATTGTGGGGTCTCTGCAGCTACCGACACAAGCATCTCTTCTGCTCTTTCTGAAAGGAGGGTGCTGACTGTGCATAGTCGGGTTTTCATGGTAATAGTGAAGAGATAGTATGTGTAAGAACTTAGTAATGTACAGTGACATGTACATTACTAATATTACTGGTCAGTTCTACATAATGAAGAATACTTTTAAATCTTTGTTAAGACAACTCAAATATATACTAATGATTTGACTATTTCCACTAATTGATTTTTTGAGGCATTAATTTCCAGTTTAAATGGATCTTATTTATGAATATATAATTTTTAAATTTAAATTTTAAACCAAATTAAATATTTGGTTAAAAGAGATTTCATCTTTTATGAAACATAAAATTTATGTTAAATAACACCTTTTTGCTTATGACTTTTGAGGCATCTTGAGCATTAGAGGCTAATAGCACTATTAGGAAACATTTGATTTCCCTCACTTGGCATTTTTAATGTTACTATTAATAAAAATGATAAAATGTTTAAATGTTCTTGATCCTGTGGATTCTTGTTTTTGCTTAGGATAACCTTTTTGAATGGCACTTCACAGTTAGAGGGCCCCCAGATTCTGATTTTGATGGAGGAGTTTATCATGGACGCATAGTTCTGCCACCAGAGTACCCCATGAAACCACCGAGCATTATTCTGCTAACGGTAAGAGTTCTTGGCATTTTACAGTGCTTGTGGGTAACTTCTTCAGTTATCTGCAAATGTAGTCAGCATATTTATAAGAAATGAAGTAGAATATTCTAATTTTGCCATCAGCACCTAGGCCATAGAAGTGCAATAATTTCCCCTTGGATTAATCCCGAGGAAGCTGTTGTATCTGTGAAGCACTGGTGATGCTGGCGAATGCATAATGTCATAGCACAGTTGTTAGGACCCCGTGACATAATGTCATAGCACAGTTGTTAGGACCCCGTGTCATAATGTCATAGCACAGTTGTTAGGACCCCGTGTCATAATGTCATAGCACAGTTGTTAGGACCCCGTGACATAATGTCATAGCACAGTTGTTAGGACCCCGTGTCCTAATGTCATAGCACAGTTGTTAGGACCCCGTGTCCTAATGTCATAGCACAGTTGTTAGGACCCCGTGTCCTAATGTCATAGCACAGTTGTTAGGACCCCGTGTCATAATGTCATAGCACAGTTGTTAGGACTCCGTGACATGCCGCCTGGACGTGGTGATGCTGAGTGCAGCTCGTGTCAGCTCCAGTTTCCCATCCATCTCACACCGTTTTCATGAGTTTCCTCCTATATGCAGTGAGCTGTAATGGCTGACATGGAAAGAAAAGATCAGGATCTGTGATAGCTCTTAGAAACCTTAATAAATGCTGTTTTATTTCTGTTTGTATCTCAGAACTTCTGCCTTTCTGTCTTCTCTTTTCATGTGAAAGAAAGAACATTGGTATATTAACTCTCTGGATTGCTAAACTGTCCCATTCTCACTTAGGTTTAATCCTTTCCTAACCGTGAAAAAGGCAACACACATCATCCATCCATACACGCACAGACCCTTTTGTTGCCTTGTTTTCTCTTTGACCTTACTCGTGTGTAGACTATTGCAGTTGTTTCACAAATGTTGTCTATTGAAACTTACCTGAGAACTGCTACAGCTTCAGTCTTCATCCTGTTCATCGAGTCTTCTCTGACACAGGTGTTAGCTCCAGCTGCGCTCTGGAGCCTGCAGAAGGTGCTTGTTTTAGGGTCAGCTGGCCGGGGCCCTGAGCAGTGCTCTTTCCATTCCCCGCCTGGAGGGTGTATATTTATTATCTTTGTTTCTGTCTGATGGAATGTTGTTTGTGGCAAGTACAGCCACATCCTAAAGTTCCAGGCATCTAGAAGCTGCTCAGCAAGCACTGGCTGTTACTGCTAAGTGTTGATGTTGATATGAAGGCTGGGGCAGCCCTTTAGGCTCCCATGTCAGGACTTATTTCAGTTAACTGGGAGAAACAAGAGGTCTGCTGTAGCATGAATGATAAAAACCCTGAGACAGGTATTGGGATTCAACCTGAAGATCAGAGAAGCAAAGCAGCCAAGCCACTAGAAAGCTCTTATCTCTGTGAAATCTCCAGACTGACAGAGCGAGCTCCTATCTCATCCTGCCTTATATTCCTCGCTAGTGCAGGGACTAAAGGCTTATACCACCACTGCCTGGCCTCTGTGACTAACTAGTGTGGCTACTTTGGTTAAAGGTGTGCGCCACCAGTGCTTGGCCTGTATGGCTGACCAATGTAGCTGTTTTGCCTTCTGATCTTCAGCCAAGCTTTACTTATTAAAATACAAATGAAATATCACTGCAGCCTGGAGAAAGGGGCTGGTGTATGGGAGAGGTGGAGGTGTGTGTGTGTGTGTGTGTGTGTGTGTGTAAGAGAGAGAGAGAGAGAGAGAGAGACTGACTATAGCTTGGAGAAAGGGGCTGGTGTATATGAATGTGTGTGTGTTGGGCAATAGATAACAGCTTTTTACCAGTAGTTAGCCAGTGGATCAGTTGGATTTAGCACACTGAAAAGGAGCCCTATCCTTGTCAGTAGTCAGTATTGCCTTCTTGTTCACTTTCTTTCTTAAAAAAGTCACTTTCAATTTTGATCAAATATTTACTGAACATGACCCATGATGAGGCAGGACTGAGTCAGCCTCCTCCCAGCGGTGCTTCTGCCTTAGTGCCTTTTTCCTCACCTCCTTCAGCCTTGTGGCTGTTCACCTGCTCAGGATTGCAGTGGTCACCTCTGAAAAAGGTGTCAAGAGTCTCCATCTTTTACTGACATCAGCATGCTTCTATTTCTGCCTGCCTGCTCGATGTCATTGGTTACTTTCCTATAAACCATCAGTTCTGTGTCCAAATCAAAGTCATGGTCTCTGCTCTTCCTTTACCACGTTCTATCTAATTAAATGGCATTAACCTTCTGAAAAACTGCTCCTGTCTTAAAGCCTCCTCCAGCATGTTAGGTGACTTGGCATCTATGTGTCTTCTCTTTATGCAAACCTAGATTGTAGTAGGCACAAGGCATAGCATCAGTTCCAGCTGTGCTGCTCAGAGAGGTGCCAGTGCACCTTCAAAAAAAGAAAAAAAAAACAACTTTATTCAGCCTTTAACAAATGTTTTTGAATGCCTATACGAGGACAAAAAAAACGCTCCTTTATTAGAGTTAAATTTCTTTAAATATTATCTTTAAAATTATTATTTATATGTAAATATGGTATGTATTGGTTCTTGGAAAGCAGAAGGCATTAAATAGACTTTTGCAGTTTTTAAAATACGTTCTTTATTTCTAAGGCTAATGGGCGATTTGAAGTAGGCAAGAAGATCTGCCTAAGCATCTCAGGGCATCATCCTGAAACCTGGCAGCCTTCGTGGAGCAGTGAGTATTAGTCAATAGAAGCTGCTTATAATACACTCGAGAGTAAAGATGTTTTGGCTAATATGTAGTACCCTTGGAAATTAATAAATATTTTTCCATGTTTAAGTTTGTATAGAACTTTAATAACCTCTCACATCTCCTGAAAACCTTCAGATTTTTTTTCCCAGAGTAAACCTAGTTCCCTTTAAAATTTTTATTTTGTATTTGTGTGTGTGTGTGTATGTGTGTGTGTACCTGCGCATGCTTATGTTTGTGTGCAGATGTGTATGGAGGCCAACAGTTGTTGAGGGGTGTCTTCCTTAATTCTCTTCTACCCTATTTTTTGAGGCAAGGTCTCTCACTGAACCTGGAGTTTGCATATTTGTTAGGCTTGCTGGCTAAGCAAGCTCCTGGGAGCCTCCTGTCTGCTTCCCCAGAATGGGTAGAGCATGCACTGCTCTTTTTTCTTTCTTACAGCAAGCATACAGGGGGCATGGGTCCCTGCGCTTGCGCTGCTGAGCTGGCTCCTACCCCAGCTCCTACCTCAACCCAGCTCCTATCCCAGCCCAGCTCCTACTCTAGCTTCTTCACCAGCCCAGCTCCTACCCGAACCCAGCTACTACTATAGCATCTACCCCAGCCCAGCTCCTGCCCCAGCTCCTTTCACTGAATTGATGTTCATTTTCTGTTTCAGTAAGGACAGCATTGCTGGCCATCATTGGTTTTATGCCAACTAAAGGAGAGGGAGCCATAGGTTCTCTAGATTACACACCCGAGGAGAGAAGAGCACTTGCCAAAAAGTAAGTTCCTTGTTAGGGCCGAGTGGTATTAGTGGTTAAGGATCCAGTCTTAGCATTGTAGAAATCCAACTCTGAAAATTTCCTTGGAGTGATCAGAATATTAAAAAAAATTGATCTCATGATATTTTTTTGTAGTATTTTGGATCAGTCCCTGGATTTCATTCCATGTCAGGCAGGTACTCTTCCACTAAGTTGTATTGCCAGCCTAACTATTTCATTCGTTTAAAAGTAGTTGATGGGCTGGAGAGATTTCAGTGGTCAGCACTAGCTGCTCTTCCAGAGGACCCACATTATGATTCCTAATGGTCTGTAACTCCAGCCCCACAGGATCCAGTTTCCTCCCTCTTCTCTTCTCTGTGGGCACAGGAACACATCTGGTGCTCAGACATGCAAGAAGGCCAAACACCAGTACTCATAAAATAATAATTAGAAAATAAAGTAGTTGGGAGCATTCTACTAAGATTTGGTTTACTCCAGTGAAACAGAATTTCCTAGAAAGCGTTACTGGCCCTTTGTCCCATTTCGGTTGGCATCACAAGTGGGAGGAGCCATAGCCATTGTTTACATACTGCTGACTGTAAGATCAACTCCCTGGGGCTGTGAAGGAGCCCACTCAATCTTTGTAGCAGCTCGCATAGCTTCAACTTATGTAGCAGATATTCAATAAGTGATCTGGGATAAAATAAAGGAAATTTTTATTAGGTAGTGATATGATGGTGATCGTGCCCTCTCTTAGTTTTGTTTTTCTATATAGTCATAAAAATTCATTCAACTTAAAGTACCATTTCCTTTCTGGCTGTTCTGGAACTCACTATATAGACCAGACTGGCCTCAAACTCAGAGTTCTGGAATGAAAGGTGTATGCCTGCAAGCCCAGCGTAAATTATTATTATTATTACTGTTATTTTTTTTCTTTGGTTGTTCAAGACAGGGTTTCTTTGTGTAGCCTTGGCTGTCTTAGAACTCTTAGACCAGTCTAGCCACGAACTCATAGAAATTTGCCTGCCTCTGCTTCTCAAGTGCTGGAATTAAAGACTCGGGCCACCACTGCCTAGCTCATAAATTCTATTTTTAATTGACTTCTTTCCGGTTGTATGTTTTTGCTAAGATATAATTGGAGCTTTATATTAGACTTTTTCACAGACTTTGACTAGGCTCATGGTCTGGGTTCTTCAGGATGGTATCACAGAGTATAATAGACAGTTTACATAAATATGTTGCCACTGTAGATCTGAAGCTTTCTTTAGATAACTTATTTTTTAAAAATGAAACCTAAGCTGTTTTTTAATGAACCTTTTACTTTCCTCAGAACACAGTTGCTCCCTTGTCTCATGGCCTGTGGGTGACTGCTATGAAGTTGTTAAGTACCCTTTTCTTTTAGTTATTCCATATTTGAGTATCTTTAAAATGTTTTTAAAGATTTGTTTCTTTTTGATTTATGTTTATGGATGTCTTGCCTTCGTGCATGTACATCTGTGCATCATGTATGTGCAGCATCTATGAAGGCCAAAGAGGGCATTGGGTTCCCTAGATCTGTAGTTACAGATGGCTGTGAGCTGCCATATGGGTGCTGAGAATGGAACCCTGGTCCTCTGGAAGAACACTCTAGCCGCCATTTGAGTATCTTGTAAAGGGGAGTTAGTACTCAGCTGTTTGATTTATGCTCATTGAACAACATTGTCTCCTACCAGATCACAAGATTTCTGTTGTGAAGGCTGTGGCTCTGCCATGAAGGATGTCCTATTGCCTTTAAAATCTGGAAGTGATTCCAGCCAGGCTGACCAAGAAGCCAAAGAACTGGCGAGACAAATTAGTTTTAAGGTATTATAAACTCCTAAACAGATCTGTTTATGTAACCTTTTTGTTTACTGCTGAACTCTAGATAAAAAGGGAAGTAATATAGTTCTACTGACATGAGATTTTTATAAAGAGTGTTTTCTTAATACAAAACATAAAAGCTACACTAATGCAGACTTTGGGGCATAGTTATAGCTAGACTGCTAAAGGCTGCATTCAGATCAGCTTTGCCGTTTACTGCTGACATTCCAGACATAGTGCTTTACCATCGTGTGCCCCCTTACACCTGTAAATAATAGTAGTACCTTCTTTGGACTTTTGTCAGGATATGTTAATTAACACGTATACCACATAGTGCTTCATAAATCCTAGTCTTTTTCTTCCCTTTCTCTTCTCTCCCTCCCTCTTTCTCTGTCCCTTTCTTTCTCTTACTCTTCTTTCATACATTACATCCTGATCACAGTTTTCCTTACCTCCACTCCTCCCAGTCCTTCCCCAACCTTGCTCTCCCCCAGATCCACTCCTCCTCCATTTCCCTTCAGAAAAGAGAAAGCCTCCCAGGAATATCAGCTGAACATGTCAGTTCAAGATACAATAAGACTAGGCATAAACCCTCATACCAGGTCTGGGCATGCAACTCAGTAAGTAGTAGGAGGGTCCCAAGAGCAGGCATAAGAGTCTGAGATACCCCCTCCCCATTCCCACTGTTGGGAGTCCCACAGGAGCACCAAGCTACACAGCCATAACATATATGCAGAGGGCCTAGGTCAGCACCGTGCAGACTCTGAGACTGTTGCTTCAGTCTCTGTGCGCCCCTGTAAGTCCTGCTTAGTAGATCCTGTGGGTCATGTTCTTGTGTATTCACCACTCCTATAGTCCTTCCCCTCTTCTGAGTTCCCTGAGCTCTGCCTAATGTTTGGCTGTGGCTCTCAGCATCTGCTCCCATCAGTTACTTGAAGCTTTTCTGATGACAGTTGGGCTAGGCACCAGTCTATAAGTATAGCAGAAAATCATCAGGGATCATTTATTCATTTATCCGTCCATCCGTCCGTCTGTCTATTTATGTTAGTCCTGTTTGGTTCTATCCTAGATCTGGGCTATCCAGCCTCTGCTTCCTGGCTATGCAGGCAGAGTCAGGGGTGTAGTCCCTTTTGTGGGCCTCAGGTTGGAGCAGTCATTGGTTGGCCATTCCTACTAGTGCTGCGCCACCATTGCCCAGCACACCTTGCAGGCAGAACAGATTGGAGGTGGAAGGTTTTGTGTCTGGCTTGATGTCTCAGTCCCACCATTAGAAGTCTTGCCTGGTTATAGAAGATGGCCAGTTCAGGCTTAGTATCCCCCCATTACTGGGAGCACTCGCTAGAATCACCCTTATAAATTCCAGGAAGTTCCCACTGCATTACGTTTCTACATCGCTCCTGAAATGGCCCAGTTCCATTTGTCCTCCCAGTACTGTCCTTCACCACTACCCTGCCCTCAGTTCACCCGCAAAAAATCTATCCCATTTCTCGTTCTTTTTGAACAAAGTAGGTAACCTCACCTCTGAGATTAACTGCTGTTAATATTTCAGCATGTTTCTAATTTTCTACCTTTTTACCCAAATATAAAATTTATATAATATTTTAATACTTTGAGTAAACACACTGTGTTTCTGGAATTTAATTAACCCATATTAAGCATATGCTGCCTTCTCCCTCTGACCTGCCTTTCTGCCCTCTGTGCTCCTGGGTTCAGTTCTTGGGTTTTTTCTTCAGTTTTATCATAGTTCCTGAAAGAGGAAGTATAAAGATCTTCCCTGGATTTCTTCTACACCTAAAATCTTTCTTGTTTTGAATATTGTGATTTTTCAGATTGAGGAAATACATACAGCTTACTTGAGCAGTTACAGTAATTAGGTTAACCTGGGACTGTTTACTATTATTGGAGAAAGCCCAAGCTAGCCTCACATAGTTATGTCAGACTTTTATCTAAAAGTCACCCCAAAGCTTTAGTTTGCAAGGATTCTTGGAATTGAGGCTAGGAGCCATAGCATTGTTCTTAGCAGGTAGCAGCCGCTGAGAATGCAGGCTGTCTTGTGCCCTTCCTGTCAGACCTGGTGTATAGCAGATGCAGACGGCCCAAAGCTAGCTGACTGGTGATGTAGCTCGTAAGAAAGGAGTGATGAGGGTGACCCAGAGGGAGTAGTTGATTGCTGATACATTTCTTCTTCTAACACTGCTCTTGGGTATATCTTATTTATAGGCCGAAGTCAATTCATCTGGAAAGACTATCGCTGAATCAGACTTAAACCACTCTTTCTCACTAAATGGTTCACAAGACGATTTACCTACAACATTCCAGGGTGCTACAGCCGGCACATCGGTATGGCTCTTGTCCTTTAATACACACACACACCACACACACACACCACACACTACACACACACCACATACACACACACCACACATACACACACACCACACATACACACACACCACATACACACACACCACACCACACATACACACACACCACACCACACCACACATACACACACCACACTACACATACACACACACCACATACACACACCACATACACATATACACACACACCACACATACACACATACCACACATACACACATACACACACACCACACATACACACACCACATACACACGCACACCCCACACACAAACATACACACACCCTACATGCATACAAACACACACTTGTTTGGAGTAAGGTAAGATCCTTCTAGATCAAATACTGAAATTTTTTTCTTAGTAGTAAAGTTATAGCCCAGCTGCCCCACTAATTATGCTGTTCTGAATACATCTTTCTGGACTTTAGTTTTTTTTGTTAAGTGGTGTTGGATGAGATAGTTTCTAAGTCCTGCTGTCATTCAGGATGCTTCTTTCACATAATGCTAGCCTGCATAAAACATGCATGTTTAGCATGCATCTGATAGATGGGAGGTGCTGCCTTGCCTTGGGGTAGTTCTACCTGTCCTCTGGTCACACATGGCTATCTAAGTTTAAATCAGTGAAGGTTTAGTGAAGTCATCAGTGTTGGCCCTCCGGCACACTAGCATGTCCTAGTCCTAGGCACACCACAGCCGCAGCAGGTGGTTGGCAGCTCTGTTTAGAAGCATAGATGCAGAACTTAAACTCCACTCACGCAGCCCTGTTGAACACTGCCTTGTGTGGAGTAAGTGGCAGGAATTGTTAGATGAAAGATTGAATGTTTCTTATGAGAGAGCTAGCTCTACTCTGACCCATTGCTTTAAACAGTGAGTCAGCACAGGTGATCAGAGTATTACTCATTAAAAATATTACTGGATTGGTGCTAAATAATGAGGATTATGAGGGGAAAGTGACTTAACATGTATACACGATGAACTTACCACTCTTGGAATCAGTTTTGTTAAAGATTATTTGACTAGGTAACCACATCTTATTTCCCCATGTGGCTTATAGAAGACATTTATTGATTTATTGAGGAAGGTGTGCATATGCTATTATGTATGTATAGAGGGCAGAGGACAACGTGTGGGAATTAGTTCTCTTCTGCCATGTGCACCCGGCACTGAACTTAGGTCACCAGGCTTTGCAGCAGCACCTTTATGCACTAAGTCATCTCACTAATCCTAAAGGACCCAAAGGTCAGGAAAATTGAAAACAAAGAATGAGACAGTTTTGAGTGGTTTTCTTTCAGGGAGGAAGATGGCATATCAGTATACTTTAAATCCACTGTCAGGTGTCTTGTAACATATTCCAATTACACCTATTTTAGTTACTATGTCTGTGACTTACTGCTTTGATATAGTAAGGGGTCTAGGAAAAATACCTGATAGCAGCTTATGTTCCTCAGTCTATCAGTTCTGTGATCCCAGGGACTAAAGTTTGAGTAAGTCGTTCTATTTTATATTAAAAAGCATTCCAGGACTGATGGGATGGTCTGGTGGGTAAAGACATTTACCACACAAGTCTGGCAACCTGAGATCAGTCCCTGGAGCCACGTAAAGGTAGACAGGACAGACTTCACTAAGTAGTCCTCTGACCTCCACAGTGTACCGTGGAACCTGCACCCACATGTATATGTGCATGCACACCATAGTAAAGCATTCTATCTCACCGACTATATGACTATAATTATTTAGATAGGAAAAATTTTAACATTTCATTAGTATTTAACCAATGGTCACTGCCCAAAAGGTATCTGAAATACAGAAACCTAAATAAAACATTATATAAGCATTTTTGCTAAAGCACATGTACTAAAGTATTTGGCATCAATTGATTAATTTTGTAATGCCAGGGATCAAGCCTAGAGTCTTGTGTGCAATGAGCCATTTAGGGTGTTTTTTTTTCTTTAAAAGACATGTCTTGCTATGTAGTCCAAGTTAGCCTGGAATTTACCAATCCTTCTGCCTTAACCTTCAAGTGCTCAGAATACAATCACGTTTTAATGATTGTTTTATAAATATATTAATCATACTAATAAGGAGGCTACAAACTATCCTAAGTAAATTTACAATTTAATTTTTGAACTGAAATCCGGATGCCTCCAAAAGGATATGTTAATAGTAATAATATTAATAGTGATTAACACTTAGTAAGTAATTGTGTTTAAGCACTTTATATTGTTAATCCATTTAATCCTCACAACTGCTGAATTGGACATCGTCATTGTACAGATGAGGGAGCTGAGACATTGGCTTAGGAACACATAGCTACTAGACAAAGCCAGACTAGAAATAAACGCTTATAATTGTTATATAACCATTATAATTTATTTTGTTAATTTTATGGGCAAGATAATCTCCCCTCAAACTAAGGAAAAAATAAGTCAGTAAAAACTTTAGTATGAGTCAGTCTCTTAGGCTATAGTGATATTGTCATTGTCTTTTTTCCTTAAGAACCTGTTTCTCATGCCATTAATTCCAGCACTTGGGAGACAGAGGCAGGCAGATCTCTGAGTTCAAGGCTAGCCTGGTCTACAGAGTGAGTTCTAGGACAGCCAGGGCGACACGGAGAAACACTGTCTCCAAACAAAACCTATTTGTTGTTGGGTATGGTGGTGCATACCTACACTCTTTGCGCTGAGGGAGGCTGAGGCAAGAGGATCATGTATTCAGGGCCAGCTGGGTCACCAGCTGTTTGTGCTCTTTAAGCCTCAGTCCTCAGATCTACTGAATACATTTATGCTCTTAGCTGAGCGTCAGAAGGATGCAGAAGTTAGACTGTAATTCTTCTCTGTTGGCTGCTGTAACTCAGTTCACTCATTGAATATTGATTGGTTCACTTACTGTATGGCGTTTGTGATGCCATGCCACCATGCAACATTGACTTTTATGTGTCTGCACTCTTCCGTGGGCAGGTTGTCCCTTGGAGCCCTAGGTACAAGTCCAAGTTTATGCAGCTCTTAATTCAGCATTGGAGCTACTTTAAGCTCAAACTCACCAGTAGTTTCTCTATAACTCTGTACTATGGGTTAACTAAGAACATTTAAGAAACTATAAAGAATAATTTTAAGACCATTTAAAAAAAAAGAAACTACAAAGAATAATTTTAAGAAACTCAGATTATCTAAGCTTTTTTCGTATCCTAGGGATCAAACCCAGGTTTTTGTGGATGCTCGGAAAGTGCTCTGCCGCGACGGGGCATCCCCACACCTTTGTATTTGGAGGTAGCCCAAGCTGGCCTTGAGTTCACCATCTTCTGTCCTCACATATCAGTGCTGCTTTTACAGGCGGGAGCTGTCACACTCAGCTAGCACGTCATAACGTGGAAGTGGATGTCAGCTTTCAAATGGAAATCCTGCAAATAACTCAGAGCAGCAGTTTTCCTTCCTGTTAGAGTTGTTGCCAGCACAAAACTTATACTCTTAATGATTAATAGAAGAATTGGAGTTATATTATTTGATTCTTTTAAGCGTTTACGTTTTCCCTGTTGGAAAGTGTTTGAAATACCTTGTATTTAATTCATTTTATTGTGAGTAAAACATTCATTCTTATTTCTTGTCTGAAAAAATTAGTTCTAGTGGTAACAGCTACTCCCAGTGTATGCATTAAAAGGCATTGATGCAGTCGAGGCAGGTCAAGGAGTCTGAGTATAGTCCATACATTGTGTGACTTCTTTGAATGTGGTATTGCCAGTTGTATTATCTCTGAGGCAAACTCAAGATTTTGAAACCCTTGTGTCACATAATTGTCCTCTGGCTGAGCAGGGCTTTAGGGGAACATCAGGTACAGAGCAGCACACACTGAGGAACTCAGGTACTCTGGGCACTCTTGACAGCGTACAATATCCAGCACTGTGTTAAAGAGGCTCTTAGACTTGTGTTTAGCTCACTTGTCTGGGACTATGGGAAAGGATGTGCTGTTTGAAAGCAAGCACATTTCTACAATAGCAATATGAAAGTGTGTGGCTTATTTCCTTACTGTGGTTGATGGATGTCGACATGGTAAGGTAATACTGAAGAAGTCAGGTTTATCAAAGGTAAATGACTTGGAGTTCCATTCTTTCTACTCTTTGTAATGGGTAACTCTCAAGTTGAAAGTGCAAAAGATTGCTTCTCTCCTTGGATCTTCTGAAAGAGGAGCAGTACCCAGATGCCTGGCAGAAACTGCTGTTGTGTCTACCATCTGGAGAGACAGAGCAACGTCTGTGTCTGCTGATAAACAGGCTCCTCCCCCTCGTGAGGGCTCAAGATAACTCGTGTTTCTGGCTTATTCATCAGTGTTGGTGCCTAGTCTTAGCATTTTCATGGTCTTTGTAGATTTACCTTCGTCATACTGCACATATCCTTAAACTGTTAATGAGTGCATGTACAAATGTTGGTTTTTTTGTTTTGTTTTGTTTTGTTTTGTTTTTTTGCCAGTTTTAAACAGATTTTCTTATCGTTTTCTAGTATGGAACCCAGAATCCATCTGGAGCACCCTTGCCACAACCTACCCAACCAGCTCCTAAGAATACCTCCATGAGCCCTCGACAGCGCCGGGCCCAGCAGCAGAGTCAGAGAAGGTCTACTTCCCCCGACGTGACCCAAGGCCAGCCGCCAAGAGCCAACCATACTGAGCACGGCGGGTCTGCCATGCTCATCGTCATCCTGACTTTGGCACTGGCAGCTCTTATATTCCGACGGATATATCTGGCCAATGAGTACATATTTGACTTTGAGTTATAATGCTGGTTTGTGACTTAAGAGCTGAGACTCAGTTGCTTCATTAAACATTCTGCATTGGGTATAACCTAAGGATTGTTTACAAAATATTATTTTGTATTTATCCTTCATTACTTTTTTATTGTTATAAATTCTTTGTGCTATAGGTAGACATTCAGGCCATGTCCCAACAATTTGTCCTGCTTAGATTAAGGGACTGGAAGCCATAGTTCCTTGTCTATTTAATCTACGTCACAAACAAATAACTTATTGTGATTGCTCACACCCAAGCCGCTTTCCCATGGATTTGCAATACTTTTCTATGTAGTCCTTTGGAGTTTTCAGATAAAAGGTGATGTTTTCACATCCCGAGTATTACTGGTTACTCAGTATCACTTACTGAGTACCCGCTCTAGTTGTGTAGAAGAGGGGATGAAGAACGGCAGGGGGAGGGCACATTGCTCACTAGTTTCTTGAAAAGCATCATAATAGGACAGACTGGGGTCGCCCATTCTGTGATCTTTGTATTTGAAACTTTGTTCAGTGAGAATAATTTTATTTCAGACATTGATGAAGATCTTGGTTATATTTTTGTTTTTGGATATTACTTGAAGAGGAAAGGCTTTGTAGTCACTTTGATATGCTGTCAACACCTCCAGTATGCACACAGATGAGATCCATGCCAAGGAATAGTTCGAATCTTCTTTCATGTTAGGTGAGGAGATCATAAAGTTTGACTCTGCTCTGCTTTCATTTGTACCTGATGTGAGTTATATGCTCAGCTCTGTAGTCACTGTAGCTTTAAATTATTCCAGGAATATACATAATATTCAAATATTAATAGAAGAACTCAGGGCCCAAGTAACAGTAGTAGAGGGATTAAAAACAATCCAACTTTTATTTAGAATTGTTCACTGGTCAAAGCCCAAGAAAGATTTCAATGGAAAAGTTGATCTATCACTTAGTGCCAGTCAGTTCCCTAGATGCTGACATCGAATTTGTAATCAGTGCCTAGTGAGACCACTTAAGGCAGGATTGCCTTGGGCATGTTCCTTCAGCAACCTTGAGGGAGCTCTTAAGGGGCCTGTATTGCTGATTTAACTGGAAAATATAGGTAGTCCTGAGCTTTTAAATATATCATGCCCATTTGTAAGCTTTCTTTTGTTTTTTTTTTTTCTTTTGTTTTTTAAAGACAATATAATTGTTATCTGGGTTCTAGGTCAGTCTACAAAAGTTAGTAGCTCATACACATTTTAAGTATGTGTCAGGGCCAGGCAGTGGTGGCGCACACCTTTAATCCCAGTACTCGGGAGGCAGAGGCAGGCGGATCTCTGTGTTTTCGAGGCCAGCCTGGTCTACAGAGCTAGTGCCAGGACAGGCTCCAAAGCAACACAGAGAAACCCTGCCTCGAAAAACCAAAAAAAAAAAAAAAAAAAAAAAAGTATGTGTCAGGGTGTAGTTGTAAAGTCTTTATGTGGTTTTAACTAAATACAATTTTGAGCAAGATAGAAACAGCACACAAAATCATTTTAGAGGTGAGTGTAATTTTTACTTCTATTATGTGATTTTTGGGTCTGTTAACATAATTTCCATTTTTATTTGGTAGCCAGTTTTCGTTGTGTCAACACCTAAAATTTAAAAAGGTTCTTATGCTGTAATAAGTTAAATTATTAAAGTTTAATAGATTAGCATTTTATAGTTATTCAGATTGTTTATGAAATTGGTAAAGTCTAAAAAGCCAAGAATATTGTGACGACCTCATGACAGGAAGACTATAGGTTACCATTTTTTAAAATTTTCTTGCTGTGAAAGTATATTTTGAGGTCTTAGTTTATAATACCAAATATGAAAAACATTGATTGGGTCAGTGGTCTCCTAGAAAGAAGCTAGTAGCCCAGTGGAAGCCTGGGTGGCCTTCCCACTTAGGAGAGAAACCCACACCGTCACCCTGAGCTGAGCTGAGATGGCTCATCGCTAGAGCAGTCTTCCTCCCAGCCAGACTGGCAGCTTTGGCAGCTCTGTGATCCTACTGCATCTTCCGTGGGCGCCTCTGCTAAGCACTGAGGTTGCTTTGTGATCTCATCCATTCTTCCCTCACTGTTGCTAACTGGCTACCTCCGAATGTGTGTTGGTATTTTTTAGCACTTGATACACACATCAAAGTGGTACAGTTTACTTCCCACCCATAATGCTATCTAAAAATTGTCTTCCCACCCCCACCTTGGAATTACTGAAGAGCCTCCATTGTTAAAACCTCAGTTTAGCCCTTAGTCCCAGCATATGGCCCAAACCATGTAGACGCTGCTAGGTACAGTCTTAGGATTCCTGTTTCTCTAGTTCTCAGATTTAAAAACTCACAGCTTCACTGACCAGCGTAGCATATGACTGCACATCACGGTAGTTAATAGCATGCTTGAAAATTGCCTGTTTCGCTTGTAGAGGTGTGAGCCCATGAGCCTTCCAGACCTTCTGTATGTTTGGAGTTTATGTAGCACTTTACTCTTCCATGCTGCTGATTGTTTTATTCTACTGAAATAAAATGATTTCATCAAGCTTCTCAATGAATTAAATAAAAACTTATTTATTGAGTTTGCTATGAAAATGACAAATTTCCCTCATATTTCAGGAGAATAAGAACTCTGTTTATTCAGCTTTGGTTTGTGAAGAAACATTGTGGTGTCTTGAGAGGGCCCATTTTATAGCCCAGAATCTAAAGCCTCGCAGACCTGTTCTTCCAGGGACCTAGGGTGGTGTGCTGAAAAGTCTGCATTGCTGTTACCTGCAGATAAGTAGGTAGTGAGTGAACACAGAGACTTTTCCTGGGGGCAATGAGACTAGTGAGAACAGGACTCTACCTCCAGACGATGCTAGTGAGTTTAATGGGGTTACTTACAGGAGCACGAGGGAATTAAAGGCAGTGACATCGAGGAAAAGGCCACCTCAGCTTGGGTGAGGACCCAGGAAACAGCATCCCTGGAGGACCTTGCATGATGGCAGGCAGGATTGGAGTCTTCCCTAAGCAGTTGCTGCTTCTGTGACATTGGGATGGGATTTGTGAATCTTGTTTCAGGAGCTTCGTAAGCCTTGCAGGTTTCCTGTATTCCTGAGTCTTATAAGCTCCCCCTTATTTTTTCAAAGGAGAGCACTTCGGTTGGAGGGAAATAGTTGTACTACACCAACCGACCAAGAGTAGTGAGGATGTACCGGAACCATTGAGACTGGCAGGAAGCTGTTCAAATACCTTTTGAATGGGTGTTTTCAGAGCTGTGTGGCCTACCCAGTAAAACGAGGGACTATACTCACAGCTTGTTTTTGAACAAAGGTGGTGTTCTAATCTTACCTCTTGTCTATTCCTTTGAGTGCCGTGTCTGGATCTTTACCCTTTCCTTGAGCTTTTTGTCGCTGTTTTCATAGCCATTTTCTAGCCTGTGCAGTTGCCTCTGGATGTTCCAGTCTCGTGCCATTCTTTATAAACAGCCAGGCTTCATTCAGGACTCCTGCTTCTGCTTCTCCCATTGCCTAAGCCATCCTGCTGGCATGACCGGAGTCCTGCTTCAGCTAACGTCTCTGAGCTCTAGCCCATGGGCCTGACTCCTCTGTCTTCAAATGAGCCAGCGTTCCAAGCTAGACTATTCATAGCCTGTGCCAAAGACAAAAATGAAGTCAAAGGGAATCGTAGACCTCAGTGTAAGAACTACAGCCAGTGGCAAACACCTGTGCCAGCACTGGATGGGCAAGAGCAGGGGGATTTGGAGTTCAAGGCCATTGAGCTACATAGCCAGACCCATGTCAAAACTGAGCAGCTACAACTATAAAACCTTAGAAGAAACTGCCTTTGTCACCCTGGGCTAGGAGTAACTTCTCAGCTACACGTTCAAAAGCACAAGGAACCAAAAAAAGGGATGCTGTAATTCACTGAAAGAAACTTATTTTTGTATTTCAAAGACCCTCTATCAAGAAAGTAACAGCTGGGCTTAGTGGCGCATGCGTGTACTCCTTCACTTAGGAGGCAGGTGGATCGTGCATTCCAGGCTAGCCGGGCTAGGTAATGAGACCCTGTTTCAAAAAACAAAAAACAAGCTGGGCGGTGGTGGCGCACGCCTTTAATCCCAGCACTTGGGAGGCAGAGGCAGGTGGATCTCTGTGAGTTCGAGGCCAGCCTGGTCTACAAGAGCTAGTTCCAGGACAGGAACCAAAAGCTACGGAGAAACCCTGTCTCAAAAATCAAAATAAATAAATAAATAAATACAATTCATTGCTAAACTAGATAACTTGATTTTAAAATGACAACAGATTAGAAGCTGGGCGTGGTGGCACATACCCGTAATCCCAGGATGTGTGAAGTAGAGGCAGGAGGATCAGTTTCACGTCCTTGGCTACATAGTTTAAAGCTAGCCTGAGCTACACGAGACCTTTAAACACACACACACACACACACTAAAGCAAAAAGCTAGCATTTGAATACACATTTCTGCAAAGGAATATGGCTAGCATGTGCATATAAAGAGAAGCTCTGCATCATTATGTTGGGAAGCTGCACATCAAACCACACCAAGATGCCACTCCACAAGTATGGCTGGGATGCTCACACTATAGACTACAAACTCCCGATAAGTTGTGGTGCAACCTGTGGTCCTAGCACTAGGGAAGTTGAGGCCAGTGTGGGCTACATAGTAAAACCAAGTCTTAAAAGTGGGGAGGGGGTTTGGGGAATGAGCACTCGCTGCCCTTGCAGAGATGGGGTGTGGCTCTCATCACTTAGGTGACAGCTTAAAGCCATCTCTAAGGCCAGTCCCAGGGTGTATTAGGGTTTCTGTGAAGACACCGTAATCACAGCAAAAGGAAAACATTTAATTGGGGTGGCTCACACTTCAGAGCTTTAGTCCCTTATCATCGCATGGGACATGGTGGTGTGCTGGCAGACGTGGTGCTGGAGAAGGAGCTGAGTGTCCTACATCATGTGCAGGCAACAGGAAGTGGTCATGTCACTGGGCATGGCTTGAGCGTGTGTGAGACCTCAGAGCCAGCCTCTACAGTGATATACCTCCTCCAGCAAGGCCACACCTCCTAAGAGTGCCACTCCTTTTGGGGACCATTTTCTTTCAAACCACCACACGGTCCCTCTTCCGACTCCCTCGGGTACAAAGCACACAGTGTGCATACACATAAATGCAGGCAAAACACTTGCGCACATAAATCTTTCACACACACACACACACACACACACACACAGATGATTTTGTGAAGAAATTGGAATCCTTTATTTCTGGTGAGAATGTAAAATGGTGCTGCCGCTTTCAAAAATTACAGTCCCTTAAGTGAAACATGAAGTTACTGTATGACCTAGGAATCCTAGTCCATTTTTGAGCCCAAAGGAAAACGTGGGATCGATCAGTGGTTAAGGTACTTGCTGCTAAGCCTGACAGCCTGAGTTTGATCCCAGGGTCCTACATTCGTTGGGAGCAGAGGATTGATTCCTGCCAACTGTCCCCTGACCTCAACGCATGTGCTGTGTCACACCAAAAATGTCTATACAGACATTCATAGCATTGTTGTTAAAAGGTGGAAACAGGCTGATGAACAGCCAAACAGCATGACTTCCAGCTGTGTGATAGAACAGTCTTTGCCTATAAAAGGGATAGGTGAGCAAACATGCTGCAACATAGATGAATTGAACACGTTATGATGATACATGCTATAACATAGATGAACCTTGAACACATTATGCTGATACATGCTATAACATAGATGAACCTTGAACACGTTATGCTGACACATGCTATAACATAGATGAACCTTGAACACGTTGTGCTGACACATGCTATAACATAGATGAACCTTGAACACGTTATGCTGACACATGCTATAACATAGATGAACCTTGAACACGTTATGCTGACACATGCTATAACATAGATGAACCTCAAACATGTTATGCTGATACATGCTATAACAGATGAACCTTGAACACACTATGCTGGTACATGCTATAACATAGATGAACTTCAAACATGTTATGCTGATACATGCTATAACAGATGAACCTTGAACACACTATGCTGACACATGCTATAACATAGATGAACCTCGAACATGTTATGCTGATACATGCTATAACAGATGAACCTTGAACACACTATGCTGACACATGCTATAACATAGATGAACCTCGAACATGTTATGCTGATACATGCTGTAACAGATGAACCTTGAACACACTATGCTGGTACATGCTATAACATAGATGAACCTCGAACATGTTATGCTGATATATGCTATAACATAGATGAACCTTGAACACACTATGCTGGTACATGCTATAACATAGATGAACCTCGAACATGTTATGCTGATATATGCTATAACATAGATGAACCTTGAACACATTGTGTTGAGGGAAGGCTATGCATTGTGGGATTTTATTTACATTAAGTGTCCAGAGCAGACAGACCCTGACAGCGTTTGTAGCTGACAGGTGTGAAATTCTGTCAGGATTGGCAGCAAGTCCCTTTACCTGCTGACCCATCACACCCCCCACCGACCCATTTAGGTCATTGTAATTAGGTTTCTCCAAATGATTCAGAACCAGAATGGCCAGCTGAGTCAGAAACCGTGTTCTGCTTCCTAGATCCAATAACCTGCGTTCTGTCCGTGCCATGCTGGGCCTCCACTGCTGACTCCTCCCTTCCTGACACCCTTCTTTACCTTCCCAGTCAGCTTCTCAGCTGGTCTTTCCATGCTTCTGCTCTGGCATAATTAAATTAAAACAGTACAGATGTTACTGTTACCAAACTTGGGGTTCACAGTCTTAACCCGAGAAGCCAAGTTCAGCAACTAATTCTCGAGAATCTAGTTAAACTAGCCAAATCACACACACATACACACACACACACACAAAAAAAAAAAAAAAAACAGAAAAAAGAGATTTATTCAGTGTAGCCACATTGGAAAAGGGACAAAGAGAACCTGCACAGTTAAGCTGGGTCACCGTGTAGGCTCGCCCACTATTAACACATTGTCAGGGCTCAGTCTCATTCTGTAAGGCTGGCTGACAAGTTGTACATCTCTTCTCGAGCTTTTTCCCTCTTGGGTGGCTCCTTCTCTTCTCCCAGCATGAAATTCTTGGGGGATTCCCATCTAGGGGGTCCCCTAGCCCTAGGTGGGGTAGCCACCTTGATAGAAAAAAAGAGGTTTTTTTGTATCTAGGTGATTACTCTAGCTGCCTGTTGGTCCAATGCTCACACAAATTCTAGGGTTAAAGTTTATCTCCTCTCTCCACTACACTTGCCTACTTGGAGTGTGGGTTAGCCGTGTGCTGCTGTGGGATATTTTAATCACGCTCTGACACTCCCAAGACTGCCCAATAAAATTATACGTTGAATCGGGGTGGAGCCAGTGAGTAGCTAACAGGAACTGGCCATGGAGAAGCCAGCAATCGGGATAAAGAAGACACACAGGAAAGCAAGGGCGATGGCTAGAGCATGAGTTCTCTTGGTTCTGGGATTAGTGAAGAGATGTGTCTCTTGTGGTGTCTCTGGTCAAAAAGCAAGGCTAGCTAGCTGCTACCCATCCTCTTTGAGCTAGCAGGTTTTCACCCCAGTCTTTGCTTCTGAGTCTTATTGATAAGTAGAATGATAGAGTCTTAATTTAAACGTTTATATGGCTGTCACAGCCGTCAGCGACATGGGACCAGAAGCCCCACCAGGCCACAGCCTGAGTGGCCCACAGGGCACTGACTGAGGAGCCATGGGTGGTAGACGATCATTAAAATATCAGTACTTAGCTGACAGGAAAAACAGCAGTGTACCTTCTAAACCATCCGACTAAACATCACAGTAGAATTCTATTGCTTCTTTGTTTTTTTACTTTGGAAAACAGAGGCAGTGCTCCAATACATCCTGCAAGAACCTGAAGAGTTCCATCTTCCCTTAGGGACCTCCATTCAGGCAAGAGGAAGAAGAAGAAGAGAAGAAGTAGGAAGAGGAGGAGAGAATTCCAGCAGAACTGAAGATTTATTAAAATAAAATTTAACCTAAATCTGATGGAGGAAGGTCATTGGCTAATAAAGGAACTGCCTTGGCCCATTTTATTGGTTAGAGGGTAGGTGGGAGGAGTAGACAGAACAGAACGCTGGGAGAAAGAGGAAGTAAGGTCAGTCTCGACAGCTCTCCTCTCGGGAGCAGACGCCTGAGAGAGACGCCATGCTCCTGGCTCCTGGGCAGACGCACCCTATGAAGCTCCGACCCAGGATGGACATAGGCTAGAATCTTCCCGGTAAGCGCACCTTGGGGTGCTACACACAGATGATTAGAAATGGGCTAAATTAATATGTGAGAATTTGATGGAGGAAGGTCATTGGCCAATAAAGAAACTGCTTGGCCCTGTGGGTGGAGTCAACAGAACAAAATGCTGGGAGGAAGAGGAAGTGAGGTCAGAGACGCCACAGCTCTCCTCTCAGGAGCAGACGCCTGAGAGAGACGCCATGCTCCCGGCTCCTGGGCAGACACACGCCATGAAGCAAGCCGCCAGGTTAGACATGCTCAACCTTTCCCGGTAAGACCGGTGCTCACCGATTATTAGAGATGGGTTGATCGGGATAACAGAATTAGCCAGTAAGGGCTAGGGCTAAAGGGCCAAGCAGTGTTTAAAAGAATACAATGTCCGTGTAATTATTTCGGGGCATAAGCTAGCTGGGCAGGCGGCCGGGGTTTTGGGGACGCAGCCCCGCCGCCGCCCTTATTACTTCAAGAATTAGCCTAGAAGAGAATGGGCCAAGCAGTGTTTAAATGAATACAGTTTGTGTGTTGTTATTTCGGGCATAAGCTAGCCGGGCAGGCGGCCAGGGGTGCTGAGAATGCAGCCCCGCCACCCTTATTATTACATAAATCTTTAGCACAGAGGTTATTAGGAAGTGGAGGGGGCGGTGCCAGAGAAAGAATAAGACATACTCAAACACTGGGTATGGGCTCCTGAGAGATTCTCACTTGGGTGTCTTTAAAATGGGACTTTGTAGGACTGTGGTGCTTTACGAGTTTTATCTGTCAAGGCTGCAATGAACTCGCCTCTACTTTCAAAGCTTGACTTACTGAGGAGTGTAGGGCTAAACGCAGAGACCTTCCTCCCATAAACACGGCCACAAAGGTGGATTTCTGGAGTTGTCTAGTTGAGAAGCTTGCCTGTTTCTAAAAACTCAAGGTTACACAACGTCAGTTCTGCCTCTGCAGTATGTTCACTGCCCTTGGTGAGATGCTGTTGTCTCAACTTGAGCTTTGTAAGTGTCTCAGAGCTTCTCTCGCTCCATCAGCAGACGGGCAAGGCAGGCTGTTCTCAAACCCTGGCACCTGGGAATGTGTTAGCTAGAGTTGCATACCATGGTCTTGTGAGAAGATACACTGTGAATGAGATATATTACTGTCTTTTTTATCTGGGGGTTAAATAAGAAAGGGAGAACTCTCTTTTGAGAAGACACCATTTGGCAAAAGTCCCTCCTTAGTGGGCAGCTCCTGAAATAAAAAGAATTAGAGGTTTCATTTTTTCCTAGAAACTCACTCTCTGTGCTCGCTGGTGGCTCAGGGCCAGGCTCTGACTCACCAGGTGAGACGCAGGATCCTTATATTAGGAATACAAGCCACTGGACTTGCTGCCTGCTTGCTCAGTTGTCACAGCTGTGCTGTCTTCTTCCTGCAGAAGTTGACCTCCTTGCCTTGCCGACACACTCGGGACTGTGTGGGCTTCTGCCTGATGCTCTGGGTGCCTTGCTAGCCTCCCCAGCTGGTGCTTGTTGGTATCAGGGAGACGGGGAAAGGGCACTGCAGGTTCTGTGGCCCAGGCAGCAGTGTGGTGTGGATTCTAATACTGCATTTGATGATTCAGCCGGCCTCCATGTTAGGCATGAAAGCCGTCTTATAGTAAACACAAACTAGGCTCCTTCCTGTTGATGATTAACCCTCTGTTTCCCAAGGATTGGGCTATGCCCCTCCTGTAACCTTAGCTACAAATGGTTCTGCACTGCCTTTTGCGGGGAAATGGAATCCTTGTCTTTGTTTCAAAAAGTTGTTATGATCACCTGGCAACTTTGTTTCTGAAGGTTACTATGATTGCCTGGTCACCACCAACTTGTTATGTTCTGCTTCTGTAACCCTGCCTGTTTGCCTGCCAAACCCCCCATTAGGAAACCACATACCCCTTATTTTGCCCATATCTGTTGCTGACCTCTTGAACTCTGCCTTAGTGGGAGACCTCCTGTGTACATGAATGAAATAAAATCTTGGTTTAATTAATTTGGCCATGATGATTTGGGTCGGTGGTCTTTCTCCTTACATCTTTGGGATTTGCACATTCTTACATCATCCTCTTTGGTTATTTTGATTCCCAAAACAACTGGCTCAAATTAGGGATCCTTACAAAATAAGATGTATCATATCATTCTTCATTCCTGCTTTTGATTCTCTCTTCCCTATATAATCAAAGTCCAATTTTGTCTCTTTCCATCTAATCTCCATCCCCAGATCTGTTTCTATCACACTAAACTCATTGCCAGTACACAGCAGCAAAGCTTTAATTAATTTTAAAACATATTGTATTGCTTAGCAGGTTAAACATAATCTCATAGATCTCCATACTTCTAGTGTGCACAATTTTATTTCAAAGGCTAGAAATCCAGCCTAATTGATGATGTTTGACTTTACACATTTCAGGGTCAAAAAGCAAAGATAATTTTGTGCTCACAGTGAGAGAAAAGAGATTACACTACATAATCATGACTTTTATTTGCTTCACTCTATCCTTCAAAATCAAAATGCATATCTTTGATGTCTTTTCTGAAAAGACATTACATTTGAGGTAAAAGCGATTATCATCAGCCATAGGCAAAGCATATTCTCTTAGATCAAAGAGCCCTCTGGATCCGTCAGTGTTTTTTCTTAGCTTTCTCCAAACACATGCAGATCCACTCAGAATCAAAGCTGACCCACTGCTGGGTGTGACAGACTGGCTTTACGCAGCCAGAGAGAGGGATTAATGACCTCAGCAAAAAGCTGGCATGTTCAAGAGATTTAAAATATTTTTTATATAACCGCCTTAGCCAAAGCTGTTCTAGGGTTCAGAGGAATACCAGTTTCCCAGGTGGACAGACTCCCTGACTAATGGCCAATCTCTAAGCAGAGGGGAGGACTAAGCCTGATGTTTGTGTCATGGCCGGGTGTGTGTAGGAGGGGGGTGGGGGCTGGACAGGCATCAGGGTCATTAGGAGGTTGGGAAACTCAGCCTTGCCAACCATGCCCGCTCAGCCTCTCCGAGGAGCACTGCCAGGAGGCTGGAGACAGGATCCATGGTCAAGCCAGGGGGCACCTGCCCTGTTGAAGGTCCCTGCACAACTGCCTGTTGCATTGTAGATATTTGCAGAATGCCTTATTTTATGAGACTTGTTTTCTTCTTGTTTTGCCTGATGGCTCTTGTGGAGAGCAGAAAGCCCAGGAGGAAGAGATGGACAGGGCAGCTGGAAATGCCCAAGCAAAGGTAAACTTGCCGGGTTGTGTGTGTGTATTCCCAGTAGGTGTCCCCAGAAGGGGTTGTGGGTACCTCCTTCAATGTCCCAGTAGAATGCCCCAGCTAGAGGGGCTTCCAGCTCTCCAAAGTGCTGACATCGGCCACAGTGTTGAGCACTGTGCTATAGTGAGCCGAGATTCTGACATCAAGGCATAAGTAGACATCAAGAGCCTTTTGGTAGATGGCTCAGACTTGGTAGGTAAAACTCCCTCTACATTCCCTGATTTTGCTGCTTGCTTCTGTCGGGCTAGATCCTCATGGAAGATAGAGCTTGGCCAGAGGACTTCAGCCAAGTATTGAAAGGGAAACGGTATAAGGACTTAATGTGAATTCTTAACAAAACACAAAATGCTGAAGGATTGCTCCGTGCTTGCAGAGATATGAGGCCCAGAGCTGGAGCCCTAGCATGACAGAAATAGACAAAAGATAACTGTCTTTTTTAATTATCAGGGAAGAACTTGATCAGATTAATGGGCTTTGAGTTACAGTTTTGAATTCTAGAAGAAGTGTATGATAGGTTGTCAGCAATATTAAAAAAAAAAAGAGTTGAGCCAGGACATCTGCCTAACCCATGTCCAGGATGCAGAAAAAAAGCGAGGAACTAAGTCCAGGACTTCTGGTCAACCCATTGCACAGGAACCAGGGCCCCGGGAGAGACTACTGGTCTACCTCGCTTCTTGGCAGAGAGGGAAGGAAGGGGGCAGGAAGGAAAAAGAGAGCTCCTGCTCTCTCTGCCTCTCCCCACAGGCACCAATACATGCTCAACAACAGGGGATGCTGCTGCAGACATTCCCAAGAATTACTGGTTAGGCCCAGAAGTTGTACTGAAAACTGTTGTGTTAAAAATAGTCTCCACTCCTGGTAAATCTGATTTGGATGATGTACCGAACTTGATCCCCCAAGCTGAGGCCTAAGGGCTGTCGGGCACGAAGAAGACATGAACACCTGCGTAAAATGGTTTGCACCTGTTCCTCCAGGTGTTCTGAGAATGTGTGTGTGCTTTGGATATAAACAGATTGGGTCTGTGTTAGTTTATTTGCAGGGCCTTGAGCCTGTGAAGGAAATTGACTAGGTCAGTGGTCTTCAAATATTTTTTATCATGTACTGTTACTGGTAACATTTTTCTGGAAACTGTACTAATCCCCACCCACACCTCTTATCTGTACACACACACACACACACACACACACACACACGCACACACACACACACACAATTGTATATAGGCATACTAGATTAAGTCTTGGCTGCTTCCTGATTTTCAGAAGGAAACTAAGAATAAAAATTATTGACTTCTAGCGCTTGGGTGGAGCCTGCTCCTCTGGGACCCCTGGATCTCTCTGAGGCTCTGTTCTACTCAGCCAGGAAGCACAGCCCAGACCTACCTTGGTCACGTGTCCACAAGAACAGGCCAGAACCAGAAAGGGCCCCTCAGAATCCACCTGCTTAGCTGCATCTCTGAGCTCTGATTTGGGGAAATGTGATCACAGGTGTTCTCTGAACAGGAGATAAAGGGCCAAAGAAGGCTGGGAATCCTTGGCATGGGCCATTTTAAATAGATACCTTCACAACAGAACTCTAGAATCTTCTTGATTCAAAGGGGCGTTGTGAACCTTGAAAAGGGACTTAGAGATCACTGATTCTTCAAAATACTAAAACAACAACTAATTTGCGGGACACCCTCCCACTGAGAACATGCTGGAAAGCGGCCTAAACGGGCTCATTTTACAGAGCATGAGTGCCTCAGGGGTGTGAGTCACGCTGTTGCTGGCTCACTCACTAAAGGAACAGTGCTGCAGGAAATTGTGCCTGAGAATGCTGCCCAGACTCTAGGACCCCACTCAGTAGCCTGGCTGCCACAACCTCTGTTACTTCTCAGAAGACCCAGAGTGTCACTTGGCACCATGTGGGTCCTGGGGACAGCTTGAATCTGACATTTGGGGTGAGGACCATTCCTGAAGTTTGTCCCATGAGGAGTCAAGTGGGAAAAGATGCGGTGTGTGTTCACTGAAGCAAGGATGGAGAGAGCATAGGAAGCACCGTGCAGGGTCTTTCTGGTTTCTCAGGATGTGCATATGGTCAAACCACCACAGAGCTAGGCCGTCTGGGGGCAGCCATGCCATTCACGGTTCTGATACTTTAGTTTTCAAAATTTTATTACATAGGAGTTAAACTCTTTGTTCACAGCCTTGGAACCCTTCTTAGAAGTCTTGTTCACACACAAATAAATGTACATGTTCACACACGTGCATACCACCCATGTGGTTCTCGTCACAAGTACACAGTATACATGGTCTCCCTCACATAGTCCCACACCACACGAATGTTACCTCACACACGATTCCATGCCTTCTAATCCGACAGTCTTCCTGCATCCACTAGCAAACCATTCACAAGACAGTTCCTCTGCCCAGCAGCTGCCTTTTAAAAACCTGTCGCTGACTTCCTGGCCTTCAGTGTTCCTCTGTGTTGAATTGTGGTCAATGGAGTCTGCTCCTCTGATCCAACACTTTCTGTTCTTCCTGCCATTCTGTCTCCTACCTCAGCGATGCCTCCTTCCTCACTAGTTCCTTCCCTTTCCTGCCTGCAGAGGCCCAGCTCAGTCCCTTCCCTCTTGAGTCTGAGACTGGGCATCCTTTTTCCCACTACCATCTCCCTGTGCCCCAGCCTTGGTCATCCCTCGGTTGGTTTTCATCCTGGTTCTGTTCTGCTGGACCAGGACCAGCCTCTTCTCCTGTCCCCAAGTAACTCTTGCCCATGACAGGGAGTTGAGAGGTCAGGGAAGCTACTCTCTGGCCTTGCAGACTTTTCCTAATGGTGCTGAGCCTCAGTTTCTCGAACTGAAGGAGTTGGATGATAGGCGAGGGGTGTCTAAAATTCACAGTTGAGAGCCTGCACGGAGCACTGTCACTGTGAGAATGGTGTCACGGCCACTGTAGTCAACAAATCAGAACTCTGACCTGCCCCATGGACACAGCTGCCCCACAGGCATGGTGAATACCCCCCTTTTCACAAAAGGTTAGGTTGAAAGTCACCCAATAGTTTTGGCTTTTCTGTTTGTTTTTTTGAGACAGTCCTGGCTGTCCTGGAACTCGCTTTGTAGATCAGGTTGTTCACGAACTCACAGAGATCCTCCTGCCTCTGTCTTCCAAGTGCTGAGATTAAAGACCTGTGCCACCACCTCCTGGTCAGTTTTGACTTCTTACCATAAGGGTGTGGTTCAGGAGTTGGGGGCTAAGGGCCATTCCTGGGAAAAGACTAGTGGAGAAAGAGCCCCTTGTGACAATAGTTCAGGGCCCAGGGAGACCTCAGTGATTCCCGTTATCAATTAGTCCCTTTAAAAAAACAAACCTCTACAAGAGCTAGTTCCAGGACAGGAACCAAAAGCTACGGAGAAACCCTGTCTCGAAAAATCAAAAAAAAAAACAAAACAAAAAAAAAAAAAAAAAAACAAACCTCTGAGCCTCAGCAGCAAGGGATTTAAGCCTGCTGTATCCCGTTGAAGTGACAGCATTCTGTGACTTCCGGTTCACTAATGCTCCCCTAGATAGAGGTGGAAAGTGTGTTGACAGGGAGGATTTGCGACCACGAGGCAGAGGGCACAGTTAATGTTCGTGATCTGCTAAGCCCTCTGAGCTCCTCAGGCACCTCCCCAGCTGTCTTTGCTGGGATCTGCTTATGGCCCTGATATTGGCCGATGGCGTGCTGCTTTGACCCTGGGACTGGAACAGAGGACTGAGCAGTGATGCGGCTACAGAAGTAGAGGCATTTCTCAGGACTCTTTCCAGGGGAGAAAGTGGGAGCACAGAAAAAGCAAAGTAGCTGTGTTGTTGATTTCTGCCAACCTGGCACAAACTGGTGTTATCCAGGAAGAGAGAGCCCCGGTTGAGAAAACGCCCCAACCTTTCGGCAAGTCTGCGGAGCGACTCTTGATTAGTGATTGATGTGAGAGGGTTCAGCCCATTGTGGGCAGTGTCACCCTTAGGCAGCCAGTCCTGGGTATAGGAAAGCAGGGTGAGCAAGCCATGGGGAGCCAGGCAGTAAGCACAGCGCTGCTCCATGCCCTCTGTGTCATCTCCTGCCTCCAGGTTTCTGCCTGGAGTTTCCTGACTTCCCTTTGTGGTGAGCTGAATGCTAGAAGATGAAATAACCCCTTTCTTTCCAAGCTGCTTTCAGTCATGCTGTTTGTTGCAGCAACAGAAAGCAGACCAAGGAAGTAGTTCAGAGAGTGGTCGTGCAAAAAGCACCTGGCTTTCACGTTTTCTAGCACAGGCCTTTGTGGCTCATTTGCATAGTGCAAACTTCTTTGAGCATACTGTGTAACATATAGATCCGCATGCAATGTCATGCATTGCTGTTTCAGAATTTTTGTCTTTGTCCTTTTGAAACAGTCTCACTATATAGCTCTGGCTGGTCTGGAGCTTAGTAATTAGACCAAGCTGGCCTTTAACTCACAGAGATCCGCCTGGGCTGGGAAGGCCAAAGCACATGGCGCCCAGCTCTTTGGAGAAATAGTCTTTATTTATTGATTTATTTGGGGTGAAGAACATTTTGAGACTAAAAGGACTTGGGGTGGGGGTAGAAAACAACTCCATAGGGTACTGTCATGGCACAGGCCACTGCGTTTGCCCAAACCTTTAGAGTGGCCAGCACCAGAGCGAGTCCTGGGCTCAACCAGGACCCTGGTGGCAATGACATGTTGTTGTAGGCTCATCCATGGTCAGAAGGTCCTGCTGTGGGGTAGGATGTGCCTGATGGACGCTGTGTGCAGAGAGGAACCCAAAGCTGGCTCAGAAAAGTAAGCTCTGTTGTTTCACAAAAGGAAACAGAGAGGACTATAACATATCTATTGCTGTCTCTTCTGGTAAAGGCTGACAAGATGCCCCTAGAGCAGGCTGGCCTATTCTGGACTTCTGCTTTCCTTTGGTCCAAAGTGGGAGACATTGGAGTCCAGTTTAATTGCTCATGGGGATGGGCCATGACAGCGGGAGGAGCTGGGGACTGGCAGCCGAGGTTGAGGGCAGACACTTCTGTGAACCCCATTACCTCAGAACCTCACAGTGGAGAAAGTGAAGACAGGAAAGGGGGGCTTCCCGAAGACAGGCAGAGTCAAAAGACGTGGTTATGGGTCATCTGGAGCCAGATGGACCGAGCCAGGTAAGTGGCCACTGAGGCAAAGGTGTCTCATGGCCCCTGGCATTGAACTCACTGCCCCCCCCCCCCGCTCCTGGCTCACTCCACCCATTCCTCATTCCCTCCCTGTCTCAGAAGACTTCCTCTTGGCATACCTCAATAGTTTCCCTGCCAAACCATCTCCTAGTCTTCATCCTGTTTAGTGATTCTATGCCATTCATCACTATGGTGACATCACTTATCCATTCTCCTCAACTAGGTTAAGCCCGTGCAGATGTGAGCAATGTTCTCCCCGTGGTGTGAACATGTTAGGCAGATGAGCTGTTCCCAGAAATATGTCAAGTCGTTCCAGGGTCTGGGAACTAGCAGATGGCTGTCCGTATGGATGCCGACATCTCCACGGAGGAGGACCAGTTTGAGTCAGAACCCTCAGTGGAAGGGGAGCAATGAATGGGAGGTCCGGGGCTATGAAATGGAGATTGGCAGCCCACAGAGAAGCCCTAAGCTGGGGGCTGCAGCTTATAAAGGAATCTGTTTGGGTCCGGGCTGGTCAACCCTTAAACTGGCACTGAGCTAATAAGAAAATGTCCTGAGATTATGGGAGCGTTGTACATCTATACTGTCCAAGATAGTAACCGCAAGCCATGAGTTGTTCTTAGCAGGTACACGTCGCTAGTGTGACGGAGAAACAGGAGAGCAATGGCGTTGGATTCTGTCTAAGCTGGGAATGGCTTCCTATTTCTGACGGCTACTTCATGAATGGCACAGCTTTGATGTCCCGTTGCTTTACACTGTCAGTGCTGAGCTGGTGGGGGGACGAGGCAGGTGTCTCCGAGGTCAACAGAGCAGGAAACCTTTCTTCTATGGTCCAAACAGGAAACACTGGTTTTCCTACAAGTGAGTGGGGGCAGGAACAGGAGGGTAAGATGAGAGTCTGGAAATGGGGTGGTGAGGACTCAGGATAAGAGCACCCTGTTATTTCTCCAACCCCCAGAATTCCACGCACAACAGCTCGCAGGTCCCGAGAAGGCCTGCTTCCTTTCACACATCGGTCACCTCATCCTTTAGGCCAGCACCAACCTGCATCTGTGCAATTCTGGAAATTGCCTAAAGCAGCTCCAGGGTAGAGTGCTGCCAGTGTCCGGGTTCCACTCACCTAGCTCTCACCAGGACTTTGGGGAGTCCTGCACTTCTGTCTCCTCAGAATCACCCAGACCCCTAGAGGCAGTGCAGCACCCGGGAGGTGACAGTGTGGTTATGTCTGAGAGGTACACCAGGATCTTAGGGCGTCACATTGGGAGCGGTCTTTGGTGTGGCTGTGTGGGAATTTAGTGCGGAATTTAGTCCTCCCAAAGACACAGAGTTCAGTGCCCGAGCATCAGGAGTTTTGGAAGCTCCTGGGGAGTTGGAATATAAAGCTAAGGCCAAGAACCATCTGGTTTAAAACAACTTTGGCTAAATGTGCTAGACTCAGTTTAAATTCCTCCTAGAAGCTGGTCAGAGCACCTTGATATTGCTTCTACTTTACTGAATATCTAGGGTGTGCTGGGCATTGTGCTTAGTGCAGACAGAGATGAGCTCAGGTCACGCCCTTTACAAGTCTGCCTGAAAAATAGAAATGGTACCTCTTAGGTGTGTCCCATAGACTAACTGTCCTCCTGCCCCAGAATAACCTGAGCAGCAGGCAAATGCTTTCCAATATGCCGGATCTGACTGCTCTACGACTGAGAGGTTATGGTGGCAAAATTAATCTGGAAAGAGTATAGGACCACAGAGGGACTGAGCTAGGTGGGGTGTGTGTGTGTGTGTGTGTGTGTGTGTGTGTGTGTGTGTGTGTGTGTCTGTGTGTGTGTGTGTGTGTGTGTGTGTGTGTACAGACCTGTCCCCTGAACGACAGAAGCCACTCCAGGTCTAACTGGGGAAAGCAGCGTTTGGAGATTTGTGTCTGCTTTTGTCACAGTGTATTTATTACAAGCCACATTGTAACACATGAGTCTGACTGCAGCCCTGGCTTTCTGGAATGCACTCTATAGACCAGGCTGGCCTTCTGTTCCCAGAGATTCACCTGCGTCTACCACCTGCACTGGGATTAAAGGCCTGCGCCACCATAGCACCGTGCTCAGCTTTGGGAAATATTTTTAAAAGAAAAAACTTAGCAACCTTCACGATCCTACAGCTTAACCACATTCACTGAGAACTTGCCAGGGTAGGAGACTGTTCTGCCTGGGAAGACATCTGCTCTTAGAAATGTTTGGAAGGACCCGCCCTCTGGTGACCATCCCTGTGGTGGAGAAACTTTAGCCTTTTCTCTCCCTGTGTGTGTCAGAATAGAGAGAAAGTACAAACCAGGTGGGCCCTGCAGGGAGTCATCCACCCACAGGGCCTCTCCCAGTGCCTTGGTGGGCCATGGAAAGACATTTTTGTTTCTTTGCAGTCACTTGTATAAAAAGAACCCTGACGTGACCAAAATCCGGCCAGGAAAACCTCAGCCTCTGCTCAGAGTCGATGAGCATGACTTCACCATGAGGCCGGCCTTTGGAGGTAAGAGATCCTCCCCTCATCCCACCTGTCCCCAGTGCTCCCTCCCCTCATCCCACCTGTCCCCAGTGCTCCCTCCCCTCATCCCACCTGTCCCCAGTGCTCCCTCCCCTTATCTCACCATTCCCTAGTGCTGCAAAACTGAGGTGCGCCCTGTACCAGTCTCTCAGTCACGGCTCCCTTCCACTCCCGCGGAGAGGTAAACTCTCTAAGGAGAGAAATGGTCTGGGGAAGTGGAGAGGCTGTTGACAGAGGCCGCAGCCACCTAACTGTTGACCTTCACAAAGGAGAGCAGGCTAACTTTTCCAAAACCAACAACCAGCCAAGGATATAGGTCACTCGATGGCCAGCTGGGGTGTCTGGTGGCAGCAGGAACTTGGCCCATTACTGAGGCCCCCCCACCTCTTATTGCTTCTCCCCCTCAGCGTTCCCCTTTGGAGATCAGGGAGTGGACATGTGGCTCCCAGGATCTGGAGGAATGCATTTCAGTCAGGTTAGGCTGCAGTCACAAAGGAGGCTCAGAACCCAGGTACGCTTGCCTCTCATAATTCCAAAGGCCCAAACCCAAGGCTAGACAGATTCTGGGTCCAGAAAGGTCATAGGTGACATCTGCTCACTCTAACTGTTCGCATTATGTCAGCACAAATGCCAATGACTAAAGACAGAATTGAATCCATTTTTTAAAAAAATTACAAGCCGGCCAGTGGTGGCGTACACCTTTAATCCCAGCACTCAGAAGGCAGAGGCAGGAGGATCTCTGTGAGTTTGAGGCCAGCCTGGTCTACAGGGTGAGCTCCAGGACATCCAGGGCTACACAAAGAGAAACCTGGTTTCAAAGAACAAAACCAAAGCTAAAACATTACGCTATTTATTTTATGTGTGCATGTGTGTGGGTATATGTGCTGGGTCATGTGATCCCAGGGATGGAACTCAGGTTATCAGCCTTGATGGCAGGCACCGTTACCCACTAAACTATCTCGCTGCCTCAGCAATTGAGTATTGTTGAAGAACGGCGGGCTGCGTCCCCGGCATCCGGCCACCCGCATGGCTAGCTTATGCCCCGAAATAATTACACGGAAACTGTATTCTTTTAAACATTGCTTGGCCCATTAGTTCCAGCCTCTTATTGGCTAGCTCTTACATATTGATCTAACCCATTTCTAATAATCTGTGTAGCCCACGAGGTGGCTTATCAGGAAAGATCTTAACCTGTATCTGTCTGGAGTGGGAGAATCGTGGTGACTGCCTGATTTGGCTTCTTTCTCTTAGCATTTTGTCTGTCTACTCCGCCTACCTAATTTTCTGTCCTATTAAAGGCCAAGCAGTTTTTTTTTATTAATTAACCAATGAAAGCAACATATAGAAAGAAGACCCACCTCCATCATTTCCCCTTTTTCTGTTTAAACAAAAAAGAAAGGCTTTAACTTTAACACAGTAAAATTACATATAACAAAACAGTTATCAAGTAAGAATTACAGTTACAATATTTATATCTATTTTATCTTTTATTATAACTAAGGAAAACTATAACTAACCATTTTTCAACTCCATCAAAGACTCCAGAAGGATATAATATTACCTAAGCAAACAAGAAGTCCAAAACTCTAGAAATGACAGAGACATTTCGTTGTCTGGACAGTCATTCAAAGTTCTTTTGTACCATTGGGGCATCCATCTTCAGCCTACAGGCCCATAGTATCCAGCAGACTTTTTCATGAAACAGGAAATTTTAAAGACAGTCATTATCTGCTGTGTCCTGTAGAATGTCTCGCAAACTCTTTCATGAATCAGGAACCCCGAAAGACCATCTCACCTTTAGGCAAGTTCAGTAGTCCTCTCTCTGCGGGTTCTTTGTGTTTATGCAACAGTCCAGGCAAGAGCAGTTTCTTGCCAAAATGACTATCAAACTCCATAAGGATCCTCTTTGATGCCCATCTTCCTCTTGAAGTAGCTGGTGCTTCCAGGAGCAGACATGTCTCATTGTCATGAAAAGCCCTAAGTTATTAAAACATTTAAATGCCATATTCTGCAGTCTTTGTTTTGTTTTTGTTTTTTTTTTTTGTTTGTTTTTTCGAGACAGGGTTTCTCTGTGGCTTTGGAGCCTGTCCTGGAACTAGCTCTTATAGACCAGGCTGGTCTCGAACTCACAGAGATCCGCCTGCCTCTGCCTCCCGAGTGCTGGGATTAAAGGCGTGCACCACCGCCGCCCGGCTATTCTGCAGTCTTTGAAAGATATGAAGAATGCCTATCTAACTGAAATATATCTCTATATATCTAGAAAATCTAACTAACATGACTATAAGCTCGACTATTATTGATGATTATCCATCAACAACTGATGTGGGAGTGTCATATATCAATCTGTTGATTTCATTGGTTAAGCAATAAAGAAACTGCTTGGCCCTCATAGGTTAAAACATAGGTGGGTGGAGTAAACAGAACAGAATGCTGGGAGAAAGAAGCTGAGTCAGAGAGTCACCATGATTCTCCCACTCCAGACAGACGCAGGTTAAGATCTTTCCTGGTAAGCCAGCTCTTGGGCTACACAGATTAATAGAAATGGGTTAGATCAATATGTAAGAGCTAGCCAATAAGAAACTGAAACTAATGGGTCAGGCAGTGTTTAAATGAATACAGTTTCCGTGTAATTATTTCGGGGAAAGCTAGCCGTGAGGGCGGCCGGGTGCCTGGGACACAGCCCGCCACTCCTATTACAACAGAGTGGCGCCCAGACATGATGGGCTAAATCCACTTAAAAACCTGAGAGGGCTTTAAAAAGGAGAGAGAGAGAGTTTAACACAGTTTTTTTGCTGTTTGTGGGTTGCGTGCCGCAAAGAAATTGTCCTGACTCAGCAGCAGGAAAAAACTGGCTGTTTTAAAATGCCGGCTTTCTGGGCTGTGCCGCCATCACAATCTCTGTCTGGCTCCTGCGGGAGATAGAGCTTTTGAATGGAGCATTTGGAGTAAAGTGCTACGGCTTGCTTGATAGCAATGTGGACTGCTATGTGCCTGGAACTGTGTATGGCTCAGGGACACCAAAGGGCTCTGAGGCAGGAGCAGCTCAGCTCCGCCATGATGAACTCAGCTGGTCTCAAGCAGGAACTACCATAATTACCATAATAACAGCGCAGTTAAGGTTTCGACTGGGCAGGACACAGACGGTACCGTATTACCTGTACATGGTGCAACTTAAGTTTTTAAGAACTGCTTAACATTTTAAGAAATGCTCCTGGATAGTAAAAAAAATGTTACAGATTCACAATAAAACAGATTCAGACATAAAAGACCACACTGTTGGATGAATGTACATAGGCTTGAGAGAGAGAGAAGTAAAAGAATATAAAAAATAAAGTTAATGTCTTAAAAAAGGGTAAAGTCTTTAAAGAGACAGAGTACAGATAGTTAAGAGATTAAAAGAAATAAAAATAAGCCACGTAAAAATGGAAAATTCACAGAGAGTCTGGATTATGTACATTGTGTTTTCTTTAAAATTTTTGACTGTGAAGGAGCTAAGTACAGAGAGACATTTCATTACATGGGCTGCCAAGCTAAACCACAATGGATATAAGGGTATTACAATTTCAAAATTTGGGTCTAAGGATATGATGCTTTGGAGAGGGTCTTCTTTTGTTTTCACAGAGGACCAGACCCTGTGGCTTGCATCTATCCCGATATGGTATAATAGACCACGACCTCCCGAAAAGTTCCTGTGAACACCCTCAAAAAATTACTCACTCAACTGCCAACTGAGATAAACCTGGCACACAGGTTACACCCTAAATGATCTGACTAACAGCGCCCCCATTCAGCAGGAAGCAGTTTGGAGAGAAAAAACTGTGCCCATGGTCCCAAAATATTGTTTATAAATGTTCTTTTACATTTAAAGGGGGGAAATGATATAGGTATGAATAATTTGCATTAGTATGGATTTTAAGGTCAATTTTGTTATATGTATATGTATTTCTGATATTGATTAAGGTTTTGTGATTGTGTAGTTCTTTTAAAATGTAATGTATAATAGGAAATATAGGTTGTTGATGGATAATCATAAATAATAGTCAAGTTTTTAGTCATGTTAGTTAGATTTTCTAGATATATATAGATATATTTCAGATAGACATTCTTCATATCTCTCAAAGGCTGCAGAATATGGTATTTAAAATATTTTAATAACTTAGGGCTTTTCATGACAATGAAACATGTCTGCTCCTGGCGGCACCAATCTACTTCAAGAGGAAGATGGGCATTGAAGAGGATCCTTATGGAGTTTGATAGCCATTTGGGCAAGAAACTGCTCTTGCCTGGACTATTGCATAAACTGGACCCAGAGAACCCGCAGAGAGAGGACTTCTGAACTTGCCTAAAGGTAAGACGGTCTTTTGGGGTTCCTGACTCATGAAAGAGTCTGTGAGACATTCTGCAGGACACAGCAGAAAGTGACTGAACTGTCCTTGGAATTTCCTGCTTGATGAAAATGTCTGCTGGATACTATGTGCCTGTAGGCTGAAGATGGATGCCCCAATGGTATAAAAGAACTTTGGGTGACTGTCCAGGCAGCGAGATGTCTTTGTCATTTCTAGAGTTTGAAGTTTCTTAGTTCTTGTTTACTTAGGTAATATTATATCCTTCTGGAGTCTTTGATGGAGTTGAAGAATGAATAGATAGTTATAGTTTTCCTTAGTTATGATAAAAGATAGAATAGATATATGTAGTAGTAGGAGTGGCGGGGCTGCGTCCCCAGCACCCCGGCTGCCTGTCTAGCTTATGCCTGAAATAACAACACACAAACTGTATTCTTTTAAACACTGCTTGGCCCTTTTGCTCTAGCCCTTACCGGCTAATTCTGATATCCCGATCAACCCATCTCTAATAATCTGTGAGCATCGGTCTTACCGGGAAGATTCTAGCCTACGTCCATCCTGGGTCGGAGCTTCATCGCGTGTGTCTGCCTGGGAGCGGGGTATAGCGTCTCTTCTGAGGCATCTGCTCCCAAGAGGAGAGCT